ACCTTCCAAATACCACCTGACAGAGACCACCTTCCAAATGCCACCTGACACAGACCACCTTCCAAATGCCACCTGACACTGACCACCTTCCAAATGCCACCTAACACAGGCCACCTTCCAAATGCCACCTGACTCATGCCACCTTCCAAATACCACCTGACACAGACCACCTTCCAAATGTCACCTAACACAGACCACCTTCCAAATGCCACCTGACACTGACCACCTTCCAAATGCCACCTAATACAGGCCACCTTCCAAATGCCACCTGACACATGCCACCTTCCAAATGCCACCTGACACAGACCACCTTCCAAATGCCACCTGACACTGACCACCTTCCAAATGGTGGTTAACACAGGCCACCTTCCAAATGCCACCTGACACAGACCACCTTCCAAATACCACCTTACACAGTCCACCTTCCAAATGCCACCTGACACAGACCACCTTCCAAATGTCACCTCACACAGGCCACCTACCAAATACCACCTGACAGAGACCACCTTCCAAATGCCACCTGACACTGACCACCTTCCAAATGCCACCTAACACAGGCCACCTTCCAAATGCCACCTGACTCATGCCACCTTCCAAATACCACCTGACACAGACCACCTTCCAAATGTCACCTAACACAGACCACCTTCCAAATGCCACCTGACACTGACAACCTTCCAAATGCCACCTAATACAGGCCACCTTCCAAATGCCACCTGACACATGCCACCTTCCAAATGCCACCTGACACAGACCACCTTCCAAATGCCACCTAACACAGGCCACCTTCCAAATGCCACCTGACACAGACCACCTTCCAAATACCACCTTACACAGTCCACCTTCCAAATGCCACCTGACACAGACCACCTTCCAAATGTCACCTCACACAGGCCACCTACCAAATACCACCTGACAGAGACCACCTTCCAAATGCCACCTGACACAGTCCACCTTCCAAATGCCACCTGACACAGACCACCTTCCAAATGCCAACTGACACTGACCACCTTCCAAATGCCATCTAACATAGGCCACCTTCCAAATGCCACCTAACACATGCCACTTTCCAAATATCACCTGACAAAGGCCACCTTTCAAATACCACCTGACAGAGACCACCTTCCAAATGCCACCTGACACAGGCCACTTTCCAAATGCCATCTGACACAGACCACCTTCCAAATTCACCTGACCCAGACCACCTTCCAAATGCCATCTGACAAAGGCCACCTTCCAAATACCACCTAACACAGACCACCTTCCAAATGCCACCTAACACAGACCACCTTCCAAATGCCATCAAACATAGGCCACCTTCCAAATGCCACCTGACACATGCCACTTTCCAAATACCACCTGACAAAGGCCACCTTCCAAATGCCACCTGACACAGACAGCCTTCCAAATTCACCTGACCCAGACCACCTTCCAAATGCCATCTGACACAGGCCACCTTCCAAATACCACCTAAAAGAGACCACCTTCCAAATGCCACCTGACACAGACCACCTTCCAAATACCACCTGACACTGACCACCTTCCAAATGCCACCTAACACAGGCCACCTTCCAAATGCCACCTGACTCATGCCACCTTCCAAATACCACCTGACACAGACCACCTTCCAAATGTCACCTAACACAGACCACCTTCCAAATGCCACCTGACACTGACCACCTTCCAAATGCCACCTAATACAGGCCACCTTCCAAATGCCACCTGACACATGCCACCTTCCAAATGCCACCTGACACAGACCACCTTCCAAATGTCATCTCACACAGACCACCTACCCTACAGAAGCAGCTGAGTCTCAAGATTATAACTTACAGAATCCGTTTCTATAGAATAACCACGAGGTTGTGTCTCCAAGAATTTTCTGGGAAACAATGCTTGTGACATAGATAAAGTTATAAAAGAACTTTACATCGGTATGCCCATATAAATTAAGAAACTTCTCCACTAATTAGGTAAAATGTGACAAGTTTTCCAAGTGGCTACTAGTAACAAACGACATAATTCATATCTAGACACTCAACATTTTACATCACATTTCCCACCAATAAAAAAATCATGACATGACATTAAGTGTGACATGTGTACATATCATTTAAATATTTTACAGATTAAGCCTGGTATATTTACACAATACAAAGCATGTTACGATATTTTTAAGCACTGTATCTGATACACATTACAATATTTATACTATCCACAGTACGCAGTGTCTTTGTTAAATCATACTACTGTTTGAAGGACGATACCTCTTAGATCCCTGTAAAAAATGTCAGGAATGATGTTTTCCTTGGACCCACCAAAGCTATAAGAAATGGTGACAATTTGAATACTGAAACTGGATAGTGTAAGTTTTCCCTCATAGACTACAGTCTTCCAGGGTTATTCCCCTTAGACCAAGTTTATCGGTCTACAGTATTACCAGAGTACTTCCCCTTGGACCAAGTTTATCAGTCTACAGTATTACCAGAGTACTTCCCCTTGGACCAAGTTTATCTGTCGGTGTGGCAATCTACAGTATTACCTTGGTTATTCTCTTTGGACCAGTGTGGCAATCTATAGTATTACTGAGGTTATTGGACAAGTGTATCAGTCTCAGTATTACCAGGGTTATTCCCCTTGGACCAATGTATCAGTCTACAGTATTACCGGGGTTATTTCCCTTGGACTAATGCATCAGTCTACAGTATTACCAGGGTTATTCCCCTTGGACCAATGTATCAGTCTACAGTATAACCACTGTTATTCCCTTTGGACCAGCATAATTGAAGTCAGTGTTACCATGTTTTTGTTTCTGAAGGGACCCTGTAGCAGTCTTAATTGAATAAGTTAAATTAATAACAACACAGAGAGAATTGAATAGTCATCAAATATCAATGTCATTCATGAGATTCTGTTTTTCATCAAAATGTTTCCATTTTTCTTTGAAATATCAAGATTACCATTAATTGAAATAATTGTACATTTCACTTTGAATTAAAAATCTACTTTTTTTCTTGTCTGTGCTTTTAAAATTTAGCAGAGTAACTAATAAAACAAATTGTCTTCAAACCATAACACGAACCTCTTTACAAAATGATTTAGCAGATGCTGAATCTTTAAAGAACAAAAAAAGAAGGGATAAAAAGAAAACAGAAAAAACAACAATATGGATGCATTAGTAATCATACAATCATGTAGCAACTCCAACATATATATATATATATATGTTACAACTGTTAGGTAAACAGAAATATTAGCTATATACTTAAGGAACTTGTCATATACACTGACCATATATTGGTACTGTATATGTAAATGGTAAATCAGCTTCTGATTGACAAACAAAACTTGTTATAAATGAACTGTCTAGATGATACTGAGGTACTGATAGTCATGTACAATGGTAAATCTCATTATACAAAAAACATTACAAGGTTCAAAATTACCAATAAAAAAATGTGACTGGCCACAAGCTTTAGGAATGTTCTTCTGTTAGTAATTACATGTAGGAATACGAAATGTTTATCTGGATAAAGCAAAACTAGTCACCGAAATAAACTATGGATTGGTTATAGTATGTAAAACTTTATTCTTATACTTTATTCTTTTTTTTTAACATGAATACTTGATAATGATTTAAAAAAGAAAATAGGAAAATTGTGTATTGTAACACAATGGAGCAGTTTTTCACTGAAATGATTTTGATGTTTGTTTATGAAGTCTAGGGACTTTAAAAGCACCTTTGATTGTAGATTCATTGTACAATGAAAGTTTGTGGAAATAATTATAGTTATAAGAGCTTCCCAAAAAAACCCAAGGAAGTCTTCAGAACACTACAGAAGGATTCAAATTCAGTATTACTTTAGGTAAGGAAAATACAAGAGGGTTTCCTAATAGTAATACAGATAAACCAAGACTTCTTCCAGTTCTTACTGGGTCAATTAGGAAAACAACTCCAAAAGAAAACTGAAGCATCAGATTGAGACTGGATGAAAAACTTGGCCTACTATAAGGTTGATTTGTGAAAGGTTTTTCATCTCCTTATCATGTCCTATGTCTAGGTGTTGTCTGATGTATGAACGTCAAGGTTTTGGTGACATCAGGGGGTTGACATCAGAGGGACATCAGGGGATGACATCAGAGGGTGACATCAGAGGGACATCTGGGGATGACATCAGGGGATGACATCAGGGGATGACATCAGGGGGTAAACTGGATACACTTATGGATTGGAACATTCTGTAGAGATGTCCAAACAGTACAATAGTTTTAGAAGACAGCTCCTAGGCCTAATTGTGCCTTATCCTATCAGTGGTGTAAATGGAATTCGTCACACTTTACAAGCTGGCTCTTACCTGTCTGGATGGAGGGGGTAATGGGTTGATTCTACTGTAAGTTCTTGAATCCAATATATAGCTTACTCAAAGTCAGGGGGTTGGCTTCCAATAGGGCATTCAAATAGCTTTGGCTCATCTGTTACCTCATCAGTGAATACTGGTGTTCTGGTGACATTAAGTACTAGTATAAAAGTCTACGGAACAGAAATTATATGGGTTTATTTCTGGATAAATTCAGTATAACACTTAAACACTACAAAATGTCTGAAGAAAATTATATGGGACGAAAAGATGACAAAACTTGTCTGTCTATCAACCACTGGAAGTATAGAAATAGGGTGAAATATACTATCAGTGTGAAGGTTTTCACTTCACTCATCTGAAACAACTTTCACATCATCACCATCATAAAGCAATTATAGAAAACTCCAGTACAACGAAACTGCAAATCTCAATAGTCATAATATGTGTGTATAAAGCTCAACTTACAGAGTAGAATGTTGGAAAATATCGAAAGATCATACAAATTAGTACAGAATAGTAATTAATTCCATGGACAATCTTGAGAACTGTTAAATGTTAATCACCAAAATGTAATAAAGATATGGCTATCAATTCTGGATAGTGTTTCTGTCAACAGAAATGATAGTCTTGTTTACAATTTTAATAAAATCCTGAGAATAAAGTACACACTCTGATTGGGGTCGAGAGGTCAACTTCACAAAAATCTTCCCCTATATGCCTCATACTGCCATATTTAGTCTGTGTACTCTCAATATTTTTAACAGTCCTTAAATTCTTCCATTCAAGGTCACAGATATCTAAGAGGTCAAATGTTGTCTGGACATTTTTTACACCATCAGCAGCAGTGATGGTTATATGAGCACTTCTTCCCCTTTCCAGGGTATTAGATATGGTTTCAGGTCCAAGGGAGTTAACTCTATTAGCAGAGGAGGACCTTGCCAGAAATTTGTCACGTTCTTCCTCTTCTGGTTTGTCAAAGAGTTTACACTGTGCTGTTGTGAGAACCACCCTAGCTCCAATGGTACGAGGTGTGACTGTAATTCCAGTGATTGTAAGCTCGAAGACTTTACCACAGGCGGCTTTCACATCCTCCCGTTGTAGGTATTCAGCACGTCGTGGGACAGGTTTTTTCGGATTTCCAATGAATTTGGCAGTGCAGTGTAACAAGCATGGTGTTTCTATGCTTTCTAAGCTGAAGTATTGGTAAACCATTTCCTCAGTCAAGTCTGAAAAGTCATGCAGATATTTCAATATTCAAAAATATATTAATCTATAACTATTGTTATATGTAATTATTTCATACATATTTCAAATACATGTATCATGTACAAAAGATGAGAACTTAAGGTTTTCAACTTAAACATTTAAAAAAGTTATATAAATCATTCAAAATGAAATGATATCAAATAAACATAAACAGGTATTCTATTATGAATTCAACAATTTTTTTCCTATTTATCTACAAGTTTGGTTTGAAAGATTTCAAAGAGAGTAATGGAAAACAATTTGTTCCATATGATCCAATGAAAATTTGAGTTTGAAAATCATGTCATCTAAACACCATGTGGACACAATCTGTAAACATTCATAACAGAAAGGTCAGGTAACAATAATACCTGACTTAAAATCCTTTTCCACTGATATGAAAAATAAATTAAGTAACACTACTCTGCATTTTGTTTTGTCATGTGACCCATGAATCCCACGTGGTATTCAGATAAAAAGAAAATTGACAATGTGTGTAATGTATGTAAAGTGTGTAGCTTACAGGATACAAACAAATAACCTCCCGATATTACAGTGATGTGTAGTTACCAGGAAACGTTCAGTTATACTTTCATCATCTCTAATTACAGTTGCTTCACAATACGATAGTAGCTTTAACTATTAACACACATGGGGTTCAGTATCGCCAACTCACCTGATTTCTTCATGTCAGTCTGATATTGACCATATCATGACCTGCTCAAAAATTCTAGATTGACCTGTTTTTTCCTTACTGTAATAAGTTTTTATCAGTTTCAAAATAATTTTTTGGACCATATATCGTCAAGATAATGTTCAAACATAAATAAAACATCATCTAAATAAACACAGATGTGAAAACTATAAGTAGAATTCCTTATAAGATCTTTTTCCGTGACGACCCTTTTATGTACACATCAATGATTTTGAAGGCTGTGACCAGATATGGTATAGAAAGAGGTTGGTAACACTGAATGCTAGCTCTATACATACAGAAATACTTGGTAGATAAGTCCACATGTTCAGCTGCTGAACACTTACCTGACAGCGATTCTATGTTAGGGAACATTTTGTCTCTAATTTCTGGATAAATTTTCACTGACTCAATCACACATTCTTTTGCTATATTTTTCAGGTGGACGGAGTCACTAACAGTCAGAAACCATCCAAAATAGTATGGATCACTTTCTTGGTATCCTTGGAGTTTCTTTCTTATATCTTCTGCCTTTACTCCGTGACTGTTCCGCCTGGCTAACTCTTCCGCATCATAGCGCCATTTTGTCCGTGGTTCCACAATTATCACAACATAATGGTTTGCCTTAGCCATTTCTACATAAGCTTTCATTTCCCAACGTTTTGTGTTTGTATTGTCAATGACAACAACCTTGTTACCACGACTACATGCTGCCTTTGCCTTATCTTGACAGTCCTTGTGAGCGTAAGGTAATTGGCTAGCATTGAACTTGTACTGACCATCTTCTGACATGAAGTAGTTATCAGCAGAACACACAACTGTTGATTTGTATAAAGATTCTATCTTACGAACCAGGCTTGATTTTCCACTTCCAGGGGGGCCCCTCATTATAAACATCGTCTGACATTTTTGAATATGATTAATGGTTTTTTGGTCTCGGAAAAAAGCGAAATCTGTTGTGTCCTCTGGATCTGGCACATGTTCTGTTTTTAGTAAGGCAGGAGGTTCCACGTGTAAAGTATCCTAGAAAACAAAAAAAATAATAATATATATTTGTTTGATGATCATCGCAAAACCATGATACACCATATTTATAAAGTACAGTATTTATCCTCATAAATGTCCATATTGCTTAGTAAGAGTTTATACAGCTCTTGTGGGTGGTTTACTTGTACACATTTCATCAAAAGCACTTAGCGAATATAATGTAAACACCAGATAACATATTCTTTTAAAAATAAATAAATCAATCCTAGATGCATGTCAATTTTTTAAGTTTTTGTCATATTGGCGTATATGTAAATTAGACACATTGTCTCATAAGATACAATCTATGCGCTGCATAAACGTTATGTTTGCATGACCTTTTTACTACTGATTCAGCTGTCAGCAATGCATGATCTCATTGTGATACTTAATTGTGTTATCATTGTACTGATATTTAGTAATCATAAGAAGAGCTCTACTGAGATTAAGTTATCGCTTCAAAACATGATTCAAGATAAAAATTCTTGAATCTTGTTTGAACAGAACTGCCAATTCAGTACTCAGATGCCTGGTTACCAACAGAGGATACTTGAACTGAGGTTTTTCCAATGTCTGGGCTAGAGACAAGATTTCTCTAGTCAAGTAGTGCACTGTGGCTAGCATTTTACTAAGATTATGTGGCAGTGTTAAATTTTAGACCTTTTTTATTAAAAGGTATTTAATTCACCATATTTGAATAATTTGTTGAATAAAAGCTACTAAACTTATAGAGTATTTTCTGGGAGAAAATGTTAACTTCAGACGTATGTCCAACGTTTGTGATGCTATTTTTAATGTCTTGTCCAACCAGTTCGTCCCGTTCGTCATATTGTTATGTAAATGTCTTGTCACCTGTCTGCATTTTTGCCTGTGCACCTGTTTGTCTTGTATCGTCATTCCCACATCGGACATCGAACTGCTCACATTCTGCTTACATATGGACAGCAGAGGCAAGATGCATATTTTTAAAAGCGTATGACCAGAAGTAATCACTGTCAGAATTAGTGTTTTTTTATTAGTATTCGACCCCTGTCAGACTGATAGGGTAGGTATTTTATTGTAAGACTAATTTACATGTAATTTACAAAGATAATGGTAAATTCTTGCTATTTATCATGTTTCCGCTCAATTTGGATTTATTTAAAAGTTTGCGTAATGATAATTGTAAGCATTACGGAGATTGATATTTTTATCTTTTATTATGACAAATTAATGTCCATTGTATAATGTAAAGTATTTAATGCGTAATGTATTTGTGCACATATTGGTTATTTGTGTTAATTGTAGGGTCTTCTGTATATTGTCCAAAAAATGTTGGAAATGGAAGAATGGAGTTAGTCTTCAATTCTACAAAATTCTACGTAGCTATGAACCTGACTACAATTATACATGAACATGTTCCCTCTCCAGGAAATAATTTTTCCTGGAGTTTTCTGGAGTAACAGCAATGCTAGTGCAAGTATTCCCGAGCCCTGACATGGGTGCTTATATAACAGTGGTCATTATTTATTTCAATAACTCCACTAGGATTCAAACCTCTGGTTTACTAATCTGACATTTAATCGATTGTGCTGAAGAGAAGTTCTCTCCATCTGCAAGGTATATTTAACAAGAGTTACAGTAGTCAACACACATGTGCAGTATAATGAAAAGCACTGATTGAAAATCTTAAACTTTCTTAAATATTTCAGGTAGGTTAATCCAGTTATTAATGGTCATTACAGTTATATACATGTAGGTCAAAAGGTAGATTGGGCTGTTTAATGAGCGCCCTGGGGGAATAAATGTCCTGTGAATGTCCTAAATCAGAATTATGTTTGCTTATTGTTAGGCATGTGTGTAAAGTGCACAGTACTAAAAGAATTATCTTAAAGGTTTCATTAGCAAACGCGGGGCAAGCTTAACGTCACAGAACACTCTCTCCTATATAGCAGCCATATATACTGTTACATGTTCCGTGTTAACTGCCAGCAACGTTGCATTTCAATACTCTCCAGATGGTTAATGAAAATGTTTTTGCATGTTGTTAAACGTGGGTATCAAATGTCTCACAGGACAATAATTGATTAAAGAACTACAAACAACAAACGCTGTCTGTGTCGATATTACCTCGGATCTTTCTTCCTCTATCACGAACTCGAGTCTCTGTGATGTGGTTGCAGATTGTGACTGTTCCAAATTTTCGAGATCTGCAACCTCATTTTCATCTGTTTTAACATGCTTATAGTCTTTTCTTTTTCCACAGCAGTTCCCCATGCTGACCACTAGTTTTCAGACCTCGAAACGGACCAAATATTGTCTTATGTCAATTTGTTTTGCAATGTTGACACACAGAAACGAAAACGGAAATGGTAGCCTAAAACTAAATTTAAAACCACAAATTGAAAATTAAAATCCGGATATTTATAGCAGTATATATTCACAGAATGCCGGAGTCAGCTGATATTTCATTCAACACATACATCTACTTTTTATAATATATCTTTATATAGATATATGTAACCAAGCCGTTTGAAAAATAAATAATGTTCAAAATTTAATTTCTTCCTGATTGATAATAAAACCCACCGCCCACCTTCCTTAGTCATCAATGACCTAAATATCACTCGATGAACCACAGGTGTCGTCATCAGTTATATATCAACATTACACGAAAATGTCTTAATAAAGATATAACTTTCGTGTGCCATAGTGTTGGAAAGAAGAAAAGAAGGACTTTGCTCACTAATTTAACAATATTTCTGCCGAAATGAATACCATACATTTATTTGAAACACAATGAAGGTCTGCGGACCCCGGAAGTAAACAAAAACCGTGTCCTGCAGTGCTAAATAAAGAGGATGCTGACAGATGTGGAACTTGAGAAAAGACACAACATATCCAAATACCAACAAAAGGTAAATACAAAAATGTAGTTTCCTCGAACACTTTCGTTTTTTCTGATTCTACCAGTTAATATCCTGATATTCCTTTAAAGTGTAAAAAATGAATTAGCTCCCCTTGGGAGGTTGAATGCCATTATGTGGCTTTAACGGTTTAGATGGTTTAGTAGATGTCTTAACATTGATAAATTTGCATGTAAACTAATATAAATTGTGTTTTTGAGAGTTTATGTGTTGTTTCTCATTCGTTAGTCTAAACAGTTTATCGTATTTTTCAATAACCAATTTTATGGTGGTCACACTGAACAGAGCCATTGCGGGAAAACATAAAATATAGGGAAATAATTACCTTTATCCAAACTTAAATTTAATAAAATCAGTCCAAAACATGATTAAAAGAAAGATTTACATGGAGACTCATGAAGAAAGTACCATGAGAGTAATACCACGTGTTCCGGAAGAGTAAGCGCCTTCGATACCTGCCGTGTTAACTTGATCAATCCAAGTACTTAGAAAGTAAAATACGGTTCTGAAATAAGCAGCAGGTATACAACAGCGGAACCCTCCGCCAAACTAACGAGCATTAAACACGGCCAGCTTCTCATCACAAAAGGAAATAAAATATTTCATAGTGAGATCACTGTCATCACAGTAAAACTCGCCCATGTTTTTCATCAATCCGCATCTGTGATTATATTGCTTTAGTAGAAGTCCCTATCTGCGATTTCAGTGTATCGAAGAGAATCAATAAATTTTGTATAAACAGTTGGTATCAGCTCCTTAGGGCGATAGAGGCGGTGCCAATTTCATCAAATTAAACCAGGTGAGCGATACAGGCCTTATGGGCCTCTTGTTAAAGTTTCTTCTTTTTTTTTCCGGGAATACTAGAAAGAAGTAAGGACGTTAAAATTGATCTGATGTGAATGGACATGACTCAATTTCGTCTTGTATACAGATGTATATGAACAATCAAAAGTATTCACTGAAACGTATACTTGTGTACAAGGAAGTAAGTGTGTTTTGGGGAAATACCGGTGTAACAATATCAAGAAAAAGATCTTAAAATATTATCATTCATTTCAGAGAGGAAAGACCTAGCCACTAGCCAACGTGTAGTGTAACATACCATACAACATCAGTATGAATATGTGGTTGTGGACATGGCCCGTTTTCTTCACGTTCTGTTATTCGGCAAGTGTGACGGGTCTTCGAATTAGCGCATTTAATGTAAGGACGTTCGGACAGAGCAAGTCCGGCAAAACGGATGTCATGGACATTCTGACAAAGGTAGGCATAGAGGAATTCGCATATTAGTCATACTAGCATAAACTTTCTTCGCTTCAGTCTCATTAGGATGTTATATTTTTGATACCCTCGGTGCATAGGATGTGATGAGACATTCACCGTTAAACATATTTTATAACGCTACATTGCCCTTCTGTCTACTCGAGAATTTTTTATCGTAACGTTACAAGTCTCAAAACCATTTTTAAACTGTTGAGATTTATAAAATTCGAGGTTGTCTGAAAGATGTTGGTCTATATTATGGACTATGACTTACAATTTTAATTTTTGTGATAATATACCCATTTAAGATTTTTAACATTTGTCTTTTGCCTTTTTGTTTGTTTCATATTATTTCCTTTTTGGATCACTGTGTGTCTAACCGGTTGGTGACCCTAATGACCTTTTATGTTTTGTCGGGCCGTTAAGATAATCATAATAATAATAATTTAAATGTCCATTTCTGTGATCCTCACTGAAGTTGTAGATAGCAATATATAGAAGAGTGTTATTTCAATTAGAATGTCTTAAATAGATATGTACGTTTAATATATTTTTTATTACATTTTTGTAATTAATTTTTTACTGTTTTCCAAACGTTTAGTGAGATTTGTGTAGGATAATACTGTGATATGGTATTAGTGAGGGATTATTCTGACGTTATATCGACCTTACAATGGTCTGGAGGGGTTGAATACCAAATCGATATACAACAGTCAATAGGACGTCAGTAATTTTCGACTATACCCGTAACGGTGTGTCATTGTGAGTTCATCTTTCCAGAGTTATCATTCCTTTTGGTCCAGATATAAACTCGTCTCATTAATACACATTGGGTTATATCTCATATTCAGATTGTCCTGAGATACGACATCATCCTGATTCAAGAAATACGAGACAAGGCCGGAACAGCAATCCAGAAATTGCATCAACTGGTCAACGAGTTAGTATAATTATTTGAGCTATAAGTAGTTTCTTAGAAAAGTTCGGCGAAACTGAAAGTGAACTGCTTGGCTCTTTTGGGGTCCAACTATTAGCCCGCCCCGGAACTCTGTATGGTCAGCAATTGGTCAAATATTCTGTGTAAAAATAATGTAAATTATTGATCCTTATATGATGGTGATCGTTATTGTTATGTGAAAGGTTGTCAAGTGAAAGTTTTAAAGTCAATCACGTGACCGTGAATCCTTTTCCAGTGAAGACTTTATTATCAAAACCTATTACTTATATGGCAGGAAAGACAACCTAATATTGAATTGTAACATAAAAAAAAATATTTAAAGCTTCCCCACCCCTGCTTCTTTGGCGCCGCGATACAGTTAATAAGCCCGCACAAAATCTTATGTTTGAAATAGCACTCTATATGTTACTGACATTAAATGAATTCTTCTTCCTGTTTTTTTTTTTTTTTTTAACTTTTAAGGAATCCGGACCGGATCAACTATAACATGACCATTAGTGAGCGGCTTGGGAACACCATATCTAAAGAACAGTACTGCTATTTCTACAGGTATCAAACATACAACATACATATCCACCCAATCATATTTCGTTTAATAATACTCTGCAATCATTGACATTTGTTGGGGGTTTTATTTTCATTCCTTCATGGACACTCTTAGTCCACAAAATCAAATGTTCACGAACTGTTAAAATAAGTATCAATATGTTTATCGAGTTATATATATCCACGAAATTAAGTGTTCGCAAATATTATTTTAATAAACACGAAAATTAAGCCCGCGAAAATATATGAATTTACAATAAAGTTAATTTTATTCCAATTGTCGCGAATTTTACGTACGCAAATTTATGTATTTCATGAGTTCGCAAAATATCAACATTTTCTGATAGGAAAACCAAATGTAATTAAACCATTCCAATAATAAAATAAGGCGGTGTTAAAAAGAAAATAAGGGAAATATTAGCTCCCTCTTTGCTATCAGACAAATTGGAGTTACGCATGACAACAAGACAACACCATATTGAATATACTGTTTTACATTGTCTTCTAGAATATTATGCTGTTACCTTGTAAGAACCGCTTACAAAACTGTGTTATATACCAAAGTATAGAAAGCCACAAATATTTGTACATAAGAATTATTTGATTAAAATCATCTTATTCAACCTATGTTTTATTTGCATCCAAACAGGAAAATCGCCGAATTTCAACGCAGTGACTAGAAAGCACCGCTCTGATTGGTCATTATTACGAAAGTTAATTCATCACTGAAAAATCTCTAAAGATTTCGTATATGATGACTGCAGTGATGATAGTTTTTGGTCAGATTTACAAATTGGAATATTTCACTGGCAAAAAGATAAATAAATATACCTTATTTTGGAACAGGACTGATCGTGTAACAGTGCTTCGAGCGGAAGTCTATGATGAGGGTGGTAACAATACTAAATTTGAGAGGGAACCTTTCCTGGTGAAATTTCAGGCTAGTGTTCAAGGTTAGTACCTTAAACCAAGCACAGACTGTATAGATGATGTATTGTGTCTTCAAGCGTAAATATTGAACTGATATTTATCTGAGCATAGGTATATGTCCGTAAAAAAAAGAACGAAAAGAAAAACGCACGCTTTCTCTTACAACAGCATAAAACGTTCTATACCTTTAAGATGTTGTGTATTTATCTATTTATTTATTTATCTATTTATTTATTTATTTATTTATTTCGTGTTCGGCTAATGGTTTGATCTTATTTTGGTTTTGTTCTTTCTGTTTTTCAGAATGTGTCAATATTAATTATTTTGTTATGTAATCATTGTCTGGTATATTATTCAATCTAATTTTGGAGAAGAAAACATAACGACAATGAAGGGAAAGTACTTCTGGATTACATGTAGTGTTGCTACAAGGGAAGATCGTTAACCAAGTATTCTATATTACCCTGTGATGATTCAGTACATACATTATCAACACCTTCTTTTCATTTGATATATTTCTACACTCCTACAGGTTTGAACACATTCGTGCTGGGTGGACTTCACATCAAACCGGATCATGCTGTTGAAGAACTGATCGAATTAAGAAATGTCTTCGACCAAGCAAAAACTGTGTTCAATACAAATGATATCATGATCATGGGCGACCTCAATGCTGACTGTTCTTATGTCCCCAAGAAAGACTGGCCATCTATCACGCTGAAGACAGACACTGATTTTCATTGGTTGATTGGTGATGACGTTGATACAACAGTGAAAGCCTCCACTGATTGCGCGTACGACAGGTGCGTTTATCCAGAAAAGAGATTCCTCATATTTGGCATAGTGATATATAGTGATGTGCCATCATGCTAAGCTAAATCTGACTTAATAGCTAACGGTTAGCCAATCTTTCAGTAAAGGCTTTGTCTCCTTTTCAGGTCAAACATATATCATTATAACTTAGAGTTAGAATTCGCGTTTGTAATCAATATTCATGTTGTTGACACGTGTCTTTGTAAGATGTTGTGGACATGTGTCTATGTAGATTGGTCTTGGCATGTGTCTGTGTAGGGTATTTTGAACGTGCCTGTGAACGGTGTTTTTGTCAAGGATTTGTTTTCAGCGTTGTGACCGTGCGTCTGTATAAGGTGTTGTAGTCACGTGTCTGTATAAGTTGTTGTGGACATGGGTCTATGTAGGGTGGTGTTGGCACGTGTCTGTGTAGGGTGTTGTGAGCACGGGTCTTGATTGGGTGTTGTGGACACGTGTCTGTGAAAGATGTTGTGGACATGTGTCTATGTAGGGTGGTGTTGGCACGTGTCTGTGTAGGGTGTTGTGAGCACGGGTTTTGATTGGGTGTTGTGGACACGTGTCTGTGTAAGTTGTTTTGGACATGTGTCTCTGTAGGGTGTTTTGAACACGTTTCTGTGTCGGGTGTTGCCATTTGTGTGTGTAGGGTTTTGTGATTCATGTTCCAGGACCGAACATATTTAAATGGTCAGATATGAATTCAGTTACGTACATTGAATCATTAAATAACATTATCTTTATCTTCCAAGGTTTATCTTGACCGGAAATGATTTTTTATCTGCTGTTGTTTCCGGAAGTGCCGACATCTTCCGCTTTGATGACGAATATGGTCTTACTGCTACTCAGGTAAGCTGTTGTTAATTTTTCTAATGTTCAATGGCTACTTTCGTGTCATCTACTGATTTCGTCTGTTACGGACTGACTCGTGTATCAACTGATTGATTGGTTAAGTGGTTTATTTTACCTATCAAATGACCGCTTCCTGTATCAAGAGGCTTCATGGACAAACAACTGAATTCGTGTATCCATCAAATGACTGCGCATCATGTTGAACGACTGACTTCTTGAATTAAACGGCGGACTTCCTTATCAAACGGCTGGCTTCCTGTTCAAGCGACTGACTTCCTGTATCAAACGGCTGGCTTTCTGTTCAAGCGACTGACTTCCTGTATCAAACGGCTGGCTTTCTGTTCAAGCGACTGACTTCCTGTATCAAACGACTAGTTCCGTGTATCAAACGTCACACTTCTTATATCGACTGACTTTCTTATTGTAAGAATTTGATTTCTTCAATCTGGACTAAAATGATAAAAATATTAGAATACAGGTGCAACATATCGCGACTTATGTAAAACTAATCAAACTAAAAAGAAAACAACAACTTTCCGGAATTGGGTTACTTCCCCTTATTGCTGTGCCTTAAAGCTGTATTTATAATTAAGCACTGTTATTGACTAGTACCGTCTTATTCAACACAATTGATATTTTCTGTCCTCGCAGTGAAGTTACCATCGAAAAGCTCTTGCGCACTATCCAACGTTCTCTTTTTGTTTTGATTTTTCAGGCGGAGCAGGTTAGTGACCATTACCCAATCGAACTCGAGCTGAAGGATATCCCCAATGACATCACCACACCGAACGGTCAGTGCGCGGCCAGAATCGATAAGCGCTTGCTGTTGATAGCACTGTGGTCAGCTTTAGTTTTCCTTCAGTGTCCGGTAGCTCCGAAAGACAACGGAGAAAAGAAAACTATTTCGATTGACAACTGATTGGTTCATATTGTCGCGATCTCAAAACATTATTATAAACAAAACCTGCTAACGATTGTTTAATGTGTTTATTCCAACCTATTTAGTGCAACGAAATCTAAGGATTAATGTTAATGATATTCCTAAGCTTTTTTACAGTGGAATCTACATATCATGGTTGCCTGTTGTCACACATAAACTTTTTTGTTGTCATGTTGAATTGATGATGTGATATTTTTATAGAATGATTATTAAGCGTCTAGCGTGCCATGATTTACTATGTACAAGTATTATGACGGATCTCGTTCTCCTCAAGCTGGTGAAGGATCATGATTTTGCTATAAATTATTTACATTTGCATGCGATGCTATCACTACTCCGGTCCCCGTTTCATTAATTTTCCTCGAGGAAATATTAACTCACCTAGAATAGCATTGTGTAAGCTAACGATTAACTTAAATCAAAAGAATTTTCCTTATATAATGGACAAGGAAATTTCCTTAAGGAAGACTCATGACACTGGGCCAGAAGGAAGTATGGTTTTTGATATGATATCAGTGTGTGATCATTACAAAGTCAATGTGGGCATAGAAACGACAATAGTTCGCCGTCAAAATGGCTGTTCCGCTCGAGGTGTTACACTGTTGAAAATGATTATTTAATTTAAAATCAACTTTTTATCTACATAAGACAGCAACATGAGTAAGGAATGTAAATATATTTCATGAACTGTCGCGCGCAATATCCAGCTGTAAAGCTGTGTCATTTATAACGGCCGTGAATGCCGTATTACAAAAAGTAAATTGCTTAAAACCCTCTAAACTTTCTGTAAATGAGAAAATAGTTTGGTGTTACAGAAAATGCCAATGGTCCCCGGTTGAATATTATAATGTATTTTACAAGAGTCTCAAGGATAAGGATTATGTGATTGATGTCTTTATTTTTGCTACAACTATGTATACAAACCGAACTATATCTGATATTTTTCTTAATGAATGTTAAGCCTTGTTACAATTGTATTTACTACTTACAATGATATTTTTAATCAATTTCAATGTAAATATTGTAATGTATTTCAGTTACTGAAGTTGGTTATTTTTTTGTGATTGTATCTGTACTTCTGAGATTACGGATGCGCCCTTGCCCTGCAGGTCGAGGCAGAGATGGTTGTTCCGGGTTCCAGAATTCAATTGACAAGCTGGCATGTGGTTGATTTTAGTGGATAACTCTCCAAACAAATGTGATCTTACATGGCTGGGAAATCAAGTTTTGTTGAATGTTTTATCTATAAATATAAGAATCGATTTTACAATCTTTCAAAGAGTGCATTGCGGTTCCCAACATCTGTAAGGTACCGCAATGCACCTTGGGGAAAAATGAAAATTTTTTTAAATCAATTATAAATTCAACATTTTCCTTTTACTACGGCGGCACAAAAGGATGTTACAACAGATATATCAAGAGATCAAATATCTATTTCTGTCCCCGCTGCAGGTCGAACTCCTCCTCATGTTACTATTCTCTTCCACTACATCGTTCTTCAGCAACGGGTTTGTTTGAAGAGTCATAAACAAGTGTGGATAATTGTATGAATGGTCCTACTGTAACATCCCTGGGTAAACAGGCCCTTTCCACCCAATACTGTTTCTGGTCGGGCCCCATCGGTCCAACGCCGTCGCTCCCGCGAACTCCATATACCTATCGATCTGACTCAAAAATGGAGCTGCTGTCGTCTAGGTGAATGGCGAGTGCGTTACGCTAAGGTATTATATAATGATTATCAATATAAATCTTATTGTATTTGTATACATTCCGGAATCATCCAAATCAATTGATTTATTTATTTATTAAAACCCTATTTCCAATATTGTTATAACTTTGTATTAATTTTCTGTCACTTTTTCAAAGTGCCAGTTTGATGATAAATGTTTTTTTTTTTTTTTAAAGTATTTACTTATTTTTGTATTTATTAAATATATTACGTGTAAGTATTGTCATATTTGTTTACATTTTTACCAATTTAACTTCATATTTGTCCGGGGTTGGGCAGGGGGTCGTGATTGCGCAGTTAGAAGAGTATCGCACTTTTCGAAGATCCGAGGTGTATGGTTCGATTCCTAATTTAACGTAAACAATTTGTGTTTCTCAGGACCAAAGACCTTGCTGAAGTCCATGAACAAAACACATGACCACAGTTACTTTTGATATTACATGTTGGATCTCCCGCATGGTGTTCAGTGATGTAGCAGCCAGCTACAAATCACGATAGGTGTGTTCCGCAGCTACTACATCACCATTACATGTATTCCACCTGTACATTATGTAGCAATTTTTGCCTGTTTCACATCTTACATTCTGCCTTAGAACAATTGTGATGTGGACAATCTTTATATTACAATGATACATATTTTATTTCTAAGATTCTATTTGATATTGTCATCGGTTATTTTGTATGTTCCATTTTATAGATATATGGATATTTGTATTCCTTACTGTATAATTATCTTATGCATTGAATCTTTACGTAGTGACCATCATAAATTACAGCTCTCTATAACCAGAGAACCTCTGGCTTCTACACCACACGCTAACTGGTTTGATTGACAAATTGTTTGGTAACAACATGTCTAACACGTGATGTAGAAGCCAGAGGAAATTCGGTCATACCTTGGCTTAAAAACTGCTTTATGTTTAGGCATTTTTGTTCAAGCCAGTTAAACACAGTCCGTATGGTATCTCAAGCTAACACTGAATTTCATCCTATTTATGAGACCACTGACCATATGTTACATTACGGACAAAAAAAGTAAGAAGGGAATTCTATGTGTGGTCGTAGAGCAGAAAACCTCACCGTTAAAGGCATCCCAGTCGGTCATTGACTATTGTATATTGTTTGTCATAACAGCGAGGATTTAGATACTGTTGTGTTTTAATGTATTTACTGTTGTATGAAGATATCTAATTAAAACTAATTGCATTTATTTACGTTTTGTTGTTTCTTGTCAAAATACCTGTCAACAGTTTAGTCATTTTTGCAGAATATTTTCAATCAATGAAGTCAGGTCATACACTCTTACTGAATGAAACAATAAATTGGTAAGTTTAATATTTCGTGATTTTAGCAGTATAATCTTCATTTATAGTGAGGTTCGGCATATCAGAAAAACACTGTCCTTTCAGGCACACCTGTACGACCGCGAAGTAGTACAGCGGATTTCGAAAAGGACTTTATGATTTCATTTCTAAAACAATCGGAAACAAAAAAAAATAATCGAATCAATATTTTTTGTCGATATACGTGTCTAAAAAGACACTGAGCTGTTATCCTTAAGATGTCTAAAGATCCAAACGTTAATATATATTGTTGTGACTGACTTCTTGTGTTTATTTAGGGTCACGAAACTGGATATGACCAGGCGTTTGTCTACATGTATTAAATATGTATATACTTAAATTATATATGTACATCATTCGCCCAACTCTTGGTATGTTTATTTAAAGTTTTTATCAAACAGCTCGTGACTTCAACACCTACAGAATAATCGCCATGAATCATATACCGGTGAACTGTGACGTCACGAAATGATAATGAGTTTAAACTACATATTTGAAACATTAGATATAGAGCCTAGAGCACTTCACGGAAATATGTTTATATTCGATACACGAATTGATAAACTTGTCATTTTATTTCATTTTATGCAGCTAAACTGAGAATTATGAGGTCCGTCTCATGACTTTCGAATTATTAAACCTCATACTTATGACCAACCGTTTTAACATTTGATACTTTTCCCTCTTAAGGTAAAATGTGTATTGAATTTATTTCACATAAACAAAATTCGTTTTACCTTAAGATAATTAAACTTCTCTAGCTTTTTGTCTTATTTCACTTATGTGACATTCTTTTAACCTGTGTGTACTTCCTTGCTTCATTTCTAGAAGTAGTCTGTATAAAACGCTAGTATGAACAAGACTATGTACATTAACCGACATTCATATGAACTGAAATATACGAAATGACATTAGAATTGACGTAGGAATAAATTCTGCAAATCATATATGCCGACTGCTTATGTATCACATGATCTAATCAGTCACACTGATCAGTCCGTCTAATGGGAAGCAAACAGCAGCCTTCAACTGCTGATGTATTTACATACGTGACGCTCTAGATTATGAACCAGAGTGTGAATTCTTGATTTGTTACACAATGGAGGAACACGATGCTCTCGGGGGATGGGGAATCACTGTGGCTCTGGGGAGTGGCGTTCTCGCACTCATCTATATGTAAGTATTGCAAATAACATGCAGCAACAAGATTCTAGGGACTTACTAAAACCAGGAAAAATGGCCAGATCTCTCCAGAAAATAATTATGTTTATCTACACTTTAATAAGATAAAACAGTCTTTGTTTATTTCTTATCATAATTAAGTAGTGAAATGGTTGTTGCATTGTAATGGCGTTTAAAATTTCTGTCCTGTAGAGAAACAGCAGTGGTAATAAAACACAACAAAATCGACATCTTGTTCAAAATCCTTTCGATAATAGGACTACTATTTAGCAAACCGGTTATAATGTGTACACATGTCAGTTTAGTTTTTTTTTTTTTTTTTTTGGGGGGGGGGGGGGGGGGGGGGGGGGGGGGGGGGCTTAAATTTTGAAATAGAGAAAGAGGATAGCGGAAGTTCAATTTATTTTAATACAATAGATAAGAAGCTAAGCCAAGCTATATTTGTTACACTAATGCCCGTGCCATGCCCACCAACTACATCTTAGATTAAATGTTTTCACGGTGCACGTTTCAACATATAAAGCGTTATCATATAACCTTGGGATAGCCCAATCGAAGCAGATATACTCAACTATACACAGCTATACATGATACAGCTATACACAGCTGAGTATGGTAGATTCCAACACATGTTAACATCCTTATGCATCGATATGTATTTCACGGTAATACAAACTTCCTGGATGCATAGATCGGACAATGTTGCACGATGGGCGTATGATGTATATACGATTTGCGAACGATAGATTATGTAATGATGAAATTTACAAATCATCCATTGCGTAAGTGTCAGACATGAAAATGAGGTGTCCCGAAAAATAATAATTGTCAGTATATAGAACGTATATTCAAAGGCGACTGTTCGATGAAAGAAAAGATATTAGCTCAGCTGTTCGGTTATTATTTGAGGTAAAAAGAGTTACGAAGTTTGATTGTTATTTTCCTTTCCTATAGATTAAGTTAGAGTTCGTTGACAACTCAAATATTTTCCCGTTATGTTAGATACAACAGCTGGTGGTTTCGACGAATGAGAAAGGAGGGGTTGCCCGGGCCCCGGGGACTACCCATCCTAGGGAGTATCCCGCACGTGATTAGGAACGTGAGTATTCAAATGAATTTTGAATTCATGTGAGGATGAACGTGAGTATTTTGTTAAATTTGAGTACCGTCCTCGGATTTTCTTTGTTTTATAAGCCTGGGGATGAGGAAGAGGATAATGGATTGAGGTAGTGATGGAGACGGAGGAAGGGAGGGAGGGGAGAGGGTAATGGAGTTAAGTAGAGATGGAGAGGGAGGAAGGGGAGAGAGTAATGGAGTTAAGTAGTGATGGAGAGGGAGGGAGGGGAAAGGGTAATGGAGTTAAGTAGTGATGGAGAGGGAGGAAGGGGAGAGGGTAATGGAGTTAAGTAGTGATGGAGAGGGAGGGAGGGGAAAGGGTAATGGAGTTAAGTAGAGATGGAGAGGGAGGAAGGGGAGAGGGTAATGGAGTTAAGTAGTGATGGAGAGGGAGGAAGGGGAGAGAGTAATGGAGTTAAGTAGTGATGGAGAGGGAGGAAGGGGAGAGAGTAATGGAGTTAAGTAGTGATGGAGAGGGAGGGAGGGGAAAGGGTAATGAAGTTAAGTAGAGATGGAGTAGGAGGAAGGAAAAGGGGAATAAAGACAGATAATTATGAAGAGAGAGAAGGGGAAAGAGAATAATAGAGACAGGGAAAAAGGGGTAAGGAGAAGGTGAAGAGGGTGATAGAGTCTGGTTGTGATGAAGATGGGGAGAGGAAAGAGTGTAAAAGAGGCAGGTAGAAGGAAGGAGGGAGGGAGGAGAGGAAGTGGGTGGCAGAGACAGATACTGATGAAGTGGGAGAAGGGGAAAGAGGGTGATGAAGAGGAGGGAGTGGTTGTGGGATAAGATAGATATGAAAGAGAAGGAGAAGATGATGAATGAATCATGGGGAGGTTGAGAGGAATAGGTTATTGGAGTCAGGTAGTGACTCGTACTTATAACACATTAGATAATGAATGAAGGATGTTATATAATGGAGTTAATGAAGAATAGACATATATTGTATTAAAGGTTGGTGTCTTGGTTATGTTTAGGGCATAATGGAGTCGGAAGATGGTTGGATGAAACAATATGGCGACGTATTCGGGTACGTACAGTTACCGCTGGTGATTCGTATTTATTTATATACTTATTTATCTGAGAAATAAATAAAGAATGTTATGGTCTTTGTATGTGCAGCGCACTCAATGTCAGTCCGAGATACAACCGTTGTGGTACCCCATTTGCCTTTAGCTGAATTACGTCTCCTCGCTTAGTCACATCCGCGAAAGTGGAAAAATTCTGGAAATCCACGACATGCTGTTGTTATTATGATGTATATAATCTTGCTATTGCCATCAGACGAGCCTTTTTTTTATCATTTTATATTTTTATCATACGCCCCCAGTGGAAACAAGACATCTAAATGACTATTTCTGGATTTTATTCACAGAAGAAAATATCCATACGAATCAAGAGCTCAAAAGAACCTACGGAATTCACATATATTTTTCTCGATACCTTTTTCTCGAAAATTAAATTTTAATTAAGAAAGTTATATATATTCCAAGGAAGGTAATAGCTGTACTGTGTTAATTTATCAGCTGGGTGAGCGGTCAGCAGGTTAACGTTGTTGTCAAAGATCCTGCACTCTTAAAGGAGGTGTTGGTGAAGGATTTCTCCCACTTCACGGACAGAGGCGTATGTATATCCTCTTACTTATGTCTGATGCTGGAGATGTGTGTTTATGCTTATTATAAGTAGGAGTGCATAGTGGAAATCTTAATGTTTTAGAACGGGGCTCGATTCCGTGTATTTGATGAAAATAATATGAGTCAACTACCCAACAATGAGTGGATTACCCGTCTTTCTATCAAATCAAGACATCTTAAAGTAAAAAGGAGAGATGGATATGGGTTGACAAAACTATTTCTTAATTCTTGTATAACTATGACGTGTTAATTTTAGTACATGTATATGCGTGGCATATCCCTCCCGTTCCGTTCACGTGTTGGGTTGTAAATTTATTTCGGGAAATGGGTTTGAAAGATACTTTGTTGTATGATTATGTTAAAATATATATCCTCCATATTTTAGATTTACTTCAATCCCTAAATATATTTCTCTCTCGGAGTTTTCATGAAGCAGCTAAGGATGACGATCCTTTTTTAGGTATAGAGCTCGGCGTTTTCCGTTATTACCGGTTCCTTTAAGCTCTCTCTGTTGTACTGAATTTGATATCGTTTGGAATCTTGAGTCAGTTTTAATTTATGTAACCGCCATGTAGGTTATCGGTAGGGAAATTCAAACCAAAGTGATAATTCTTGATTTCTAGCCCAACATCAGCGGACACCCTGTAATGAGTAAGCATGTGTTTGCTGCAGAAGGAAAGGCCTGGAAACGAATCCGCGCTATTCTTAGTCCTACTTTCAGTACCGGCAAGATGAAGTTGGTGGGTATTTTGTTTTTGTTTTGTTTCAATATCAATGGGAATCTCGTTTTCAAATAAATTATTTACTGAAAAACAGCAAACGGTTCACCATACTAAAACCATGCCGTTTTTCTGTGATACCTAAAATTATCAAAATAACATCGGCTTTCCCAAGAAGTCAACTTATCGACAACAGCTTCTTTAGGGCTAAAACCGTTTTTTTTAAGTGACTGACATTATTGAGTTTATCAGAATTGTTATTTAAATAAACTGTCCTTACATTGTTGATATCCGTGATACTTCATAATGATAAAAATTATACACACCTTAGCAAGCGATCTCATCAACGGCAGAGAAATAAAATTATGTCTGTTTTTTTTTTCACCCAGATGAATGAAGATATAAATCGTTGTTCCAAAATGCTCGCGGCGAAACTGAAGGAAGCAGCAAATGCCAAGAAAGTCATCGACCCAAAAGAGTAATTATGGAGACATTTTTATTTTACCTAGCATCTGGAAAATTTCTGTATTATTTCATCAGTCTTAAAAAAATAATGGAAACCCACGAAAAAAATTGTTTACCACAAAACTTTAAAACTTTTATAATTATTCTTATTATACTTATAATACATAATCTAACGCAAATTATCTCACTGTGGTGACGTCACAATGTATATGGCACCATGAAGCAATGACGTCACAATCGAAACAATTGAAGAAATCAATCAATCCACAGCTCCGCCAGGTCAGAGATAGAATACGTTTGGGACATAACACAGCTGATGTGTGATTGTGCTGTTACACTGATACTTATAGGAAATCGGCATTGCCTAAACAACAGCGTAATTTGATGCAGATAGGGCATATATTTTGTCAAACAGCTTATTATGTTTCATAAATATTCAAATATTAGTTATCAGATTCGTACAAATATCAAATTTTTACATTGGAATGCAGTAAGGAGACGAGGCAGTGAAAATGTTTCGTTCCAAATTGGGACTTTTCTTCTTAAATTTATTTGTAATGTGTAAGACTTAAGTAGATTTTTATTTCCGTTTAAATTTTGTCGGTCGATCATTTTTTTATATCCATTCATTCGGAAGCTCTCATTTCGTGCTGCGGTAAAAGTTTTAAAGGCAATTCCATAACATGCCAGCTATGGTATTAACACCAGGTTTAAGCCAGGTCCAGCTTAGGGTGGTGGGTAGTGCGAATTTGCCATGATAGTATGTTCTGATTGCGATAGGATACTGTACTTAATTAAGAGGGCGATATCAGACACATACACAAAATACCTTGATAATTTTATACAATACATCGGACGATTCGCCGACAGTAAACATTAATCGTGGCATCTTCCAAACGTTGACATCATACTATTGTGAAAACAAATATTTGAATATTATTTTTCTATTAAAATACCGCCCTACTGAACGAATATTCGAGTATTCGTTGACATTCTATATATAATACATGCACTTCCGCTTTTGCACCATGCTGAAGTAGTTTTCCCATTCTACAACAAAACAAAATATCGTTCACTTTACACTGTTAACTTTCGAGTGTTTAAATCCAATAAAATTTCTATATCACGATCGCTATTGTCCCGTATGGATTTAACTTATTTTGTCAGGATACTACTAGAAGTCGGACATACTGATTTGTATAGGAATATCAAATATCGAACATCTTTAGAAAATTTTGAACCCGCTTGTTTTTACAATATACATCAAAATGACCTTTTCCAGTGAAGTTCTTTGAGAACCTCCATATCTCGATTCCCGAATCGCCTGACCAACACCCCCTCCCACCCACCCCCTTTTATAGCGTCAATGCGGCTATATCATTGTAGACAAGTCTACCAATCTATCTAGCTGGACTTGTCCTTCCTTGTATGAATTTTTGTAAAATGTAACATTTCCAGATATTTTGGAGCCTTCACAATGGACGTCATATCCGCTACTGCCTTTAGCCTCGATGTGGACTCGCAAACAAACAAGGATGACCCGTTCGTCAAGAACGCCAGAGGACTTTTTGTCCCCAGGAAAAGTTTTCTCTATATCATTTCATTAGCCAGTAAGTTGCTAGAATTGTAGGCAGACTATCTTTTACACTTCCTCGATACTCCAGGGGTTACGATCACTTACGCTCTCTGCGCCAATGGAACGTGTCATGGCAAAATTGAAGGTGTCATGTGCGAAACCTTGTGGACAAAATGAAAAGACTAGTTTGAATATTTGATGTACATCAAACGAATCTCAAGGTCGCATAACGGTATATTGTGGTAGTTTTGAAGTTGTGTGTCGCTCCTTTATAATCTTCAAAAGGAGCGTATCAAACTCTGATTGGTCAATTTTTTTTCTCCCGGTCGAACCAATCAAATTACTTCGCTTGTGCCTTCAATTTTGTTATGATATGTTCCAGGGATGCAGAGCGCGAAAGTGGTTGTAACCCCTGGAGTATCCACGATGTGTTTTACGATGATAAATTCTAATTTTGTTGAATTGTCTCTCAATATTCTACAAAGGCAATAGTGTAAACGACTAGTACTGATGATATAACTTAAGGCGTTTTGTGTAAAAACAATCCAAGTGTTTTGTATACATGTGACTGGATTAAAGACCGAAATGTTTAGTTAATGTGTCATTCGTTTCATTGTTTGACAGCTTTATTCCCTCCGCTGAGACACTTATTTAGTTGGTTACAAATGGGATTTTTCTCCGGTAATGTTGTGGATTTCTTCGTCAGGACTGTTAATATGATGGTACAAGATCGGCGACAAAACCCGAACGTATGTCTGTTCAACAGTGGTATAACTATGATTAAATTGGTCAAATCAGGCTTTTGTGATCGGTAAAATCAGATTAATTTATTGAATCAATGTTTTGTGATAGGTAAAATCAAATTAATTTATTGAATCAATGTTTTGTGATAGGTAAATCAGATTAATTTATTGAATCAAGCTTTTGTGATCGGTAAAATCAAATTAATTTATTGAATCAATGTTTTGTGATAGGTAAAATCAAATTAATTTATTGAATCAATGTTTTGTGATAGGTAAATCAGATTAATTTATTGAATCAATGTTTTGTGATAGGTAAAATCAAATTAATTTATTGAATCAATGTTTTGTGATAGGTAAATCAAATTAATTTATTGAATCAATGTTTTGTGATAGGTAAAATCAGGATAATTTGCTGAATCAAGGTTTTATCAGATGCAAAATCAAATATATCGAATGAACGGTTTGTTTTGAACAAAACATATTTTGATCTCGAGCCTCAGAAAGTGATATGTTGTACAAGCTTGGCACACATTACAAACCTATCAGAATTGAAACTCACTTGAATATCAATATGCATTAAGAACAATGTCCTGGGCCCAATTAAAATTTATTGTACCGGAAAAGGTCCTCGTAATTGAGATAAAGATATGTTTGATGAAATAAGGTCTCCTTGCAGCAACAAAAATGTCAATAGTGAAACATCACGGAAGTTATATATGACGTCACAATCACCTTTCCGAAGGCAATAGGAAAGAACATGTTTAAGTCACGCGATAAAACAGATACATTGTGATTCAAGTGTTGTTAATCATACACGCAGAAGCCCCAACCTCAAGGGTGAGATTCTTGAGTATCCATAACCGTCCCCATGAAGCAAGTGTCGGTATATTGATATACGTTAGAACTTTATCTATATATTTTATGTTTTCCTTTTTTCCTTCTTTCGTTTCGATATTTTCTAGTCTTTTTTATCTTTATTTTTTTTTTCATTTCAAGATAAGAAGAGACTTCCTACAGCTTATGATGAATGCTGAATTGGAAAATACCGCCGAAAATAGCGACTTGATTTCTGTGAACAAAAGTAAGAAACTTGTTTTATTTTTATCTTGGTTAAATACACCGAACAATCAGAAAGTATCTTACTATTGTCCTTAAATTACATTAGCATTTCCATTATAGAAACTACCGACTGAATTTTAAAACTATTGTGTCTTGCTAAACGTGAGAATGATATGAAATGTCTATGAAATCAAAACAATTGAATAAATGTCCAAATTCAGTATTTTTTTTTTTTTTTTTTTTTTCTCATTTTCTCAAATGTTTTTATCAGTTTATAAGTGCGAAGCTCTATTTCGGTCAGATATATAAGGTCACGTTTCATTCACGTCCAGGACGTGATCCATCCGAGAAAAATTCTTCCGGAAGTGGAAGACATGGACCATAGGCGCTTTTCACTCGTAACTAATTTAGTGTTAATCAAAAAAGTACTGACAGTTTTTTCGCTTGCCTGACTTTTAATTATTTCCAAACATAAAGATATGTTATGCACAAATGAAATTAGCATGAATCAAAATTTCTTTATTCCTTCAAGTTCTCGCCAACCAATAACATTGCATCAGAAAATATATACAAACACACAAAACGTCAACGTCATGATAATTGCGCGACCGATCACTCGCTGTAGCGCGCCGAATGTACTTCATTTCTTAAAGAACTAATAAAAATATATTGTTTTACTTTCTTGATGCTTTGAACTGAGAATGCCATTGTGACATGTAAACCTCGCCCATTCCAGGCACTGCCTGACTTATAACATATGTAATATTTATATATTTGTAGAATTATCAACGGATGAGATAATAGCATCGTCAGTTTTATTTTTTGTCGCTGGCTACGAAACTACAGCATCATTGTTACAATATTCTGCCTATGAACTAGCAGTGAATCCGGATATACATGAGCGCATGCTCCAAGAAATACAAGATACTATAGGGGATGTGAGTATCGCAAAATACTAAAATAAATTCGGTTCATAACAAATTTATAACAGTCCTTTTTATTGTTAAATTAATATATACACGTTGTACAACAGAAATTCCATAGTAAATTAGAAAATACTGAATATTAATGTATTTAATCATAAAGTGGGGTCAGTTGTGTTTATTCCTGAGTTTGAGTATTTTTTGTGTCGAATACTCATGAATGTAATTGTAAATATATTTACGATGTTGTGTATTCACTACAGGAAGAGCCAGTTTACGAAAATATCCGCCAGCTGACATATATGGACCAGGTGTTGTACGAAGTCCTCCGGAAGTACCCTCCGGTGAACAGGTCACGTGATACATATCTGAAAATTATAGAGAATTGTTGCAGCTTGTACATAATTGTACCTTTTCTACTTAGATAAAATTGTCAGGTACTGAACTGTTAGAGAAGCGAATCTTATTACGGAAAACATCTAAATTATCATACTACGTAATGGGTGTGGATACGGAAATTTAGCGGAGCTGGTAAATGTGTACGGTTTAGAAAGTGGTAGACAGATATAGAGCGATGACCTATGTGTGGTCACTAAAATTATAAACTCTACTTAACACTAACATCCAGTCTGTTGAACGGGACTTAAAATGGTGTCCGGTGTGCGTTTTGTCGAAGAAGAGTCTAGGTGTGTTGAAATAAAAAATATTTTAGGAGATAAGGCAGACTTCGAATAAACACTGTATATAAAATTACCATATGTGCGAGTATATTGTCAAATTGCGACTGCTTTCTAATGTTGAGTCAGTATCAAGCCATGGAGTCGATTTCTAAAATTCAGTACATTTGTGAAGTCGTCGGAACTGTCGACTCCATCTCTGTCCAACAAGCCTCTCCCCCTACCTACTTGTAACGCATTGCTCTAGCGAACAAAAATAAACATCAAATAAATTAAACAAGTAAATAAATTAGAGTAAAAACCAATTGCACCAAGGTTATTTAATCATTATATGTGCTTAGCAAATTTCAAAATCAATGAACTAACTTTCCACTGAAATAAATATGTTTTCAATAACAGATTAACTCGGTCAGCCTCGGAAGACCGTGTCATCGATGGGGTCACTTTGCGGAAAGGGTTCCGAGTGGTCATTCCAATCTACAATATACATCACGATCCAAGATTTTACCCGGAACCGGAAGTATTCAACCCAGAAAGGTAGGGTAAATAATTTTTAATGTAGAATATTCCTGCTTAATTAAAATATTTTCTCACTTTCTTATGTTCTGTCTCTTTTTCTAGTATTTTAGTACTAAATAGTTCCGGGATATTGTAAATTTCCAGAATATATCACGATAATTATGCTTCGGAATGTGAACTTTTGAAACCCAAGATATTTTTGTATTTATCATTGTATAGCATTGCTACGATGTAACCTCACCAAATTCAGTTATGTATTATCAACTGATAAACTGCCAACAGCGTAGGGATATTGCAAGCAATATAAACAAATTAACATTGTCTTCAACATTCATATGGTGACTGGACTGCCCATATAGAGAATATAATAAGTAAATCCTCTAGAAAACTTAATCTATTGCGTGCCTTTAAATTTAAAATTGATCGTTCATCCCTCCAACAAATGTATTTTTCTTTCATCCGTCCAATTTTGGAATATGGAGACGTTATTTGGGACAATATGTCTATTGCCCAAGAACAAGTCATTGAAAACATCCAATTAGAAGCAGCACGCATTGTGACGGGTGCAACCAAACTTACCAGCATTTTAAAACTTTACAAAGAGACAGGATGGGATCCACTTAAAACTAGAAGAAACTATCATAAAATTATCCAGCTCCATAAAATGGTCCATAGCAAAACACCGCCATATTTACAAGATATACTTCCTCAGAGACACTCCAATATACACGGTCACAATACTAGAGAAGCCAATAACTTTCTTCCAATTCGCTGCAGAACAAATACATATAAAAAGTCCTTCTTACCTTCAACAATCCACCTTTGGAATGATCTCCCTGCTGCTATTAAAAATAATCCCTCTCTTTCAAAATTAAAATTGTATTTAAGTGCCAATGCTACTTCACTGCCAACATATTATTTTGCTGGATAGACTTGGACAAATCTACCATGCTAGATTGCGTATGGAATGTAGTTCCCTAAATGACCATTTATTTAAGAAAAAAATTGTTGAATCTCCGTTGTGTAGTTGTAGGTTATCAAATGAAACTGTCGAACATTATCTTTTATATTGTACCAAATATAGTAACATTAGACAAGACTGTTTTGCTACTTTACCTTTACAAATAACCTTGGATACTTTAGTTTATGGAAACACTATCTTACCGAGAAATACCAACGAAATAGTATTTCAAAGTCTTCAAAATTACATTTCACGCACTAAAAGATTTGAATGATTGTTACATTATTTTTGTATGATAATTAAATATTTATATACATATAGTATCAGTATCGGCGCGTCACCAGCTGGTTGAATATCAATCCGACATACGTCTACTTACTAACTCCTTTCCTTGAACCCCTACTCTCTCTACCCCTCTACTCTGAACTGATAACATGATTTCTCTTGTTTTTCGATATCCATATGACGTTATTTCTTTAAACATTAATAAATGCTTGCAGTGCTGTTAAGTAGAATCACATCAAGGAGACAGATTTATATAAGTGTTCATCACTTGTTTCTGAATCCTTTTCTTTTGTATACCCAAGTACCTATGTTATGTAATAAGAAAGAAATAAAGTTTAAACTTATTCATATGCCCATGAATGCCAACAGAAATGAGTCCAATGCTTAAATTGAGTTTTTCTCGCCAGATTTGCTGACAGATCTGCTCAAAACAGCGTTCAATTTTTATCATTCGGATTCGGTCCACGGATTTGTCTTGGGCTTCGGTTAGCTATGATGGAGACAAAAATCGCCATGGTTCACCTTTTGAGGAATGTCAAATTTATTACATGCACAGAAACCCAGGTACTGTCATGACGTCATTTCCGTTTTATTCATTGTGTCGTACTGTTCCTTGTAGTCAACCATTGACAGCTAGTTCTATCATAATCCGTTGGTTCAAACAGCCCTTTGTTAAAGATGCTCAACCGTTTCACCGTGACTCCATTTTCAAAAACTTCTTACGCAGATACTCTGATTATTGATATGTTTTCAATTTCGTCTTTTTTTAAATTTTGTCATCAGATACATTGTAGTTCGCCAATAGCCTTCATCCAGATTGCGTCGTTTGTCCTCCAATACTTCCATTTCCAAAACCTGAAGGATTTAAATATTTCATCAATATTGTAATATCTTACATGTCTATCTTCTACAGATACCCTTAGAGCTCTCAAAAAGACCCGGATTGACTCAGCCGAAGAAAACTATATCTTTGATGGTGGAGTCAAGAAACTGAACTCTCTAATGACCGGGAACTTTATCCCACCACACAGTCCAGCTTACAGCACGTGTCCCGACACGTGGTATACGGCACATTATTATACAATCATGAAGACAGTATACAGTGAATTTACGTCATTGAATGTAGCAGGATCTATCGGACAGACAAAAAGACGTTAATTTTTACACTACACTTTAGTTCTTACATTCCAGTCTTCTATGATTTTCTAAGAATTAGACAATGGACAAGTATTTAATTACGTTATAATCTTTAATGGATAGCAATGCAATGCAGTTTAGTATTGTGTATTTGTATAGTCTAATCTAAAAGTGAGTATAATAGATATATATTGTTACAAGGCAATCAAAGGATTCACATTCCAACAACTTGGTGGTCTTTACCTTATCTGTAATCTGTTAATTTATCCTGAACGAATTCATCAGTCGTAATTGCCAGGTTTATATTAAATCTGGGTTTAGAGATCAATATATATATTTAGATACACACTAGGTATGGATCACATTACAATATGATATCACAGATATAGAAATTAGGAAGATTCGTGCTAATTATAGTCACAGAGACACAAAATTCTGTAACCAACTAACCGATCAACAAGTCGTATCTATTTCCTAGTCTAATTACCAAGAATAGTATATTAACACTGTACGTTAACCTGTACATCTTACATATCAATTATACATATACAAGATATATATATATATATATATGATTTAACCTGAAAAACACATTTCCGTAGCTATTATACTTTTTTATTCAAATATCTATATATTTTATATTGATAAGCTGTGTGATTTTATTGCTGAAAAATGAATAAATAGTAAATATCTTTGCAAGTCAACACTTTTGTTTGTTCAGGGAATGACGTCTTTGTAAAAAAAAAAAAAGGGGGGGGTTCACATTCTGAGCTCCAAGAGTTACTTCCCTCCCTTTCATTCTACAGCCGATCTGGCCTTGAATGGAATATTCACATAAACAGATCCATAGGAACAGTGAACACCAGGTACCATAGCAACTGTACGGTGAATGTTTTTCAGTAGGTAATGGTTTTCTTACCTTGTCACTTCGGTGTCAAAAACTAAGATCCTTGTGTACGGGTGTCTGAATATGGGGAATGTTAAACGAGAAATATCGGGATTTTCCCAACAATCCCCTCCCCGGGGTCTAAAGGTGGGGGTGGATCATTCGCATCTAACAGGACATGTAATATGCTTTGGTAGATCCTGCACCGTTAAGGAAAAATAGCCAAAATCCTTAACTGATTACAAAGTCCTCTCAACGCTTAGTACAAACGACACAAAGCGTCTATTAATAATTCTACTGTGTAGCCTGTCGGCGTTTAATTAATCTCAGTAATTTCAAGAGAGCAGAGTACATCAATACATTGAGTATAAACATTGTTTTAACAGATGCGTACGTGGTTTGAACGAACATTTACCTCTTCAACTCTGGAAAAATCCTTCCTCACTTCAACGCTTAACAATCCTGCGACTTGAAATCAGCCGCACAGAAAAAACGGAGATAGACCCCGGAAATCTGTATTACATGGCGATAAAAAAAACTCTTAATTGCTCATTGCGGCCAAGTTTGATAAAATTTCTGTTTTAATTAAATTTCAAAACAGAGGCACGCAAATCGCCAAAAATATCAACTTGACTTTGATTAACAAAATGCTACAAGTTTTACTGAATGTGAATGGGTAGAAATGTTAGACTATCTACTTCCCGCCTACCCAGCTCTTTAGTTTTAATACCCCGATCAGCACGTGCGCGCTGACACCCAAATGTATTTTATTCCTAATTAGGATAGAATGTAGGTAAAGTTGTTCCATGACTCAAGGGGAGATACCGACCTTACGACAAAGGCAAGAGCTTACAAGGAAAATAACATATTGCTTCAGCGGTCAAAGCCGGGACAAGGACATAGGTCATAGCTGAATAAGAAATGAACACGAGGACTGAGTCGAATGGGCCAATGTATATTCGGACAATTACGTCACACTGTATCCAGAAAATAAAATGATAACAGTTTACTGGTACAATGACAAACGGACACAGTTTACTGGTACAATGACAAACGGACACAGTTTACTGGTACAATTACAAACGGACACAGTTTACTGGTACAATTACAAACGGTCACAGTTTACTGGTACAATAACACAGACACAGTGTACTGGTACAATAACAAACGAACACAGTTTACTGGTACAATTACAAACGGACACAGTGTACTGGTACAATAACATACGGACACAGTTTACTGGTACAATTACAAACGGACACAGTTTACTGGTACAACAAGAAACGGATACAATGTACTGTCAAATAAAAAAATATATATGTCAGTGTGTTCCGTCGGTGATAACGTCAGTTGCGGAATAAAGAATCACGTTGATGCTTTAGAATAACGTGTATTCTTTATGACGTCATACATTTACAGCGAGTATGGTATTATGACGTCATCAATGGTTGGTCTATGACAACCGATGTGAACGAGCTTTTGTCTGAAGTACACCAAGGTAAGGTTTCCGGTACAATTATTCAGTTACCTGATGAAAAACTTAAGAATGCAACTACTAATATGGCGAGGACTGATTTCTCGGCAGGCTAATTCTGTTTTTTAACTTTATTTCGTCCGGGACCAGCCATAGAAATTACTAAGGAAACAGAGTCAATCCTATGGACACGCCATCAGAAAGAATCGAGTTAGTCAATTTAAGGTCTTGGTTTGTCTGTATTTAAATTGTGTCCAGTGCAGCAATTCTATATATATTGCTGTGTTCCTTGATGTTCCTGTAACATCTATCCTTGTCAGCATTCTATCGACTTTTCCCCTGTATGTAGGACGTACCTACTGTCCCCATTACGTAGTCGTTAGAGACATCTAAACTTGTGACTTCTTTTTCAAGCCCTTAATTCTTCCTAAGGTCTCCCTTGAGACTGCCTTTTGGCCGAAAGGGTTTTGGATTGTTCCCCTGACATATCAGAGTCTAATTATTGTGGTAGTGTGGCCACTGGTTTGCCCGATTTCATTATATGTGACGGGATGGGATCTCCTGCTGCAGTATGCTTCCGTGAGATAACACTATAAGGTCAGCTTCATTTCCGCACCGTCACAAGGAGGCTTTCACAAATATAGCCTCCCAAACCACATGCACATAACTCATCTCACATACATCGAGAGGCCGTCCTTTATTGAGTCTAGCTGCTGATAGGACGTTATAGAGTGTAGATAAACTCTTTAAGGAATTTTAACCAAGCTTTACTCATTATTAAAAGAGCAGTATAACTAATCATATCTCGCAGAATGAATCTCGGGGTTTTACGGTCAAGATCAAGGTGACTGATACAGCACATTTGTAACTTCATTTTTTTATCAAAATGTACACCCTTATTAATGACCCTTATAATCTGGGCAAGTTTGAATTTCAGAGTTCTCGGATCAAAACATCTTTATCAGCGCTCAAGCGGCTTCATTTCTTAAGGAATTTCAATCAATTCATTACACAATTATTTAAGGACTATTACATCCAATATTGTTTTGAGTTTCTGGATTGTAAGCACAATGTCAAGGTCAATATTACTATTTTCAGGAAACTCGTGCCGGCATTTTAGCGGCTTAATTCCCTGGGGGATTTAGATCAAGCTTCGACTTCATTTGAAGGGTCATACTATCACTGACACGTTTGATTTTCAAGGTTACAAGGTCAAGTTTAAATGTTGATTTCACGTTTCAAAAAATCAAACTGACATCTGTTCCTTAGATTCTCAGGACTATGAATTCACCAATTATGTTCCGGCTGTTACAAATACAGAAGGGAAAAGCTGTAGGCATGATACAGGCTGGAAAGTCTCGGCTTCGATATTTTGGTTTCAGTATTCAGACAATTAACCACCTGTTGTATGTATGTCGCTTAAATCAAACTTGGTCAACATCCGACCGCCCACATAGCGACGACCCCTACAAAAAGACCGCTAGGAATGGTCGACGTATTTACAGCAGAGGCAACAAGTACATTGATTGGGTATCGTGTATCTGTTCTAAGGAAAGCCTAGTAATGGACAGCACGACGTCCCTATATTGGACCTATTTTGTTGTGACGTTACCTTGACTATTGGTTTCGTTAACTGTTTGGGCTCAACAACTATACATTGTTGTGGGCGTGTGGAGAAGACGAGCAGAGCGTCTTGCAAACTGCTGCGTCACAGAACGGGAGCGCTCTGGCAGCTGAATTGTAATGGTATGGGGCGATATTTGTGGGGGATCTCGTACCAGACTTACTGTGGTAAACATTAGTTAAATATTCAGTCGCTACCGGGACGAACATTTTGGCCCAGCGGTTTGCTATTCTTCAGACGCCATGGCGTTGGCGCCATTTTCCAGCAGGTTTGCGCGCTTACGCAAACCAGAGCTAGTCGCATCAGTAAAAATTTCAAAAAGTAGAATATAAAACAGGTTTGATTGGCTCTTGATTTGTAACTAATTGGGACATTCTTCGTTAACACGTAACATAAAAATTAGCCGTCAAATTTACAGCAGGTTAGCCACGAGCGATGATCGAATTATCAGCGACATCTATACGACGATGCTACAATGATGTTTGCCTCACAATCGATGGTTGTACCCATTGCGACTGGAGTTACGATTGAAATCGAACACAACGTCTTTTAATAAAACCAACTGAACGCAATGTTTTAGCAATTAACCATGACAGCAGTTATATTTATCAATTAATTTATTCGTACATGGTTGGTAAAGAATTTTAAATGGCTTGATTAATCAACAACTTTCAATACAAAATAGTGTTACCTTTGTTTTTGGTTAAGTTTACACACTACTGTGTGTCTGAAAAAAAGGTTTTCTGAAAAACAAAAACAGCCCTCATAATTATCTGGTCACTGTGTATAAGAAGATACATCGATTAATGGATAAATCGGATGGGAGAGACGACTTCGTCCAAGGGTTGTGATTTTATTTCTTAACGTTGTGTTTTACCATGCAGATGGCCACTTCTCCAGTAGCCAGCGAATCAACGTCCAGTTCGGATACCAAGGAGCTGGAGGTCCTCCTCCCGTCCTTTCTCCGTCAGGCGGTAAGTGGCAAAACAAAACGGAAAGATGAGGACATTATTTTTGTTTCTTTTTTCCATATTGATTTTAAGGATATTCAGGAGTATTGCTCCTTATTAGCTCACCTCCCCGAAAGGCAAATGAGTCTATGTCATGGCGCGGCATCTGTCGTCTGGCGTCAACATTTTCCTTCACCTTCAAATAATTTCTTCTCAATAAGCAAAAAGCTTGTGCCACTGATATTATGCCTGTATCGTACCGGGATGAAGGGTAGTTAAATTTGTTCAAATGAATGACCTTGGCCTGCTTTCATTGTCACAAGGCCAAATGTGCTAACAAATTCAAACAACTTCCCATTAACCGGAAATCCCAGGGTACTGATATTGGGTCTGTAGCGTGCCAGGATGGAGGGATGTCAGGCCACAGAAATCAAATGTTATGAACTAGTAACTTCTTTTCACAAACCCTTAGTCATGCTACTGATGTATTAGCAAGTCTGTCGAGGTGGAAGAAACTGAATTAATAAAGTGACAAAGTCCTCTTTGTAAGCTACAGAACAGGCAAGCGATTCAGACTCATTGGGCCTCTCGTATATTTCTAAGAAAGGGGTCGTTTTTCCTTATATTTTTGTAATGAATGAAGTATATTGCTAAATTACAAAAGATGAATATATTTGCGTGTAACTGTATCGTGCGTTATTGCAGACGGCTTTCCAGCAGATGGGAAAAGAACTTGACAATTATATGAAAGGGTCTCGAAGCATGAAGATTGTGGTTGACGGTATCAACAAAACAGTTACCTCCCTTTGTGACAAGTCGTGGCCTCGTGTTGAGGAATTCGCAGCTCTGTTAGAGGTAAGACAATGAGCAGGATGATAGTATTATCATACATCTAATTTTAAATGACAAAACGTTTTGTCGTTCTGGTAATTTAGATTAATTAACTTCCTGTTGTTCACGCGAGCGGAAATGTTTTTGTTTTCGCCAGGGTATACAAACCACACACAGTGTATATGAACACACGTGCTATTCAGGGAAGCGTACAAATGACGTATCTTTTCACTTATAACGTTTTTGTCTTAAAACTATATATATTAAAGCAATTCAATGTAAATTAATGTAGCGCGCGAGGGGCCTTACTGTGGGAGGAAACCGCAATACCCAGGGAAAACCCACGTCGATAGGCAGGTGACCCCATTATTTTCACGTCCGTTCCAGGATTCGAACCCCGAACGGCCAGCTGAAAGGCGAGGGAGTAAACATTGCGCCATCCGACCACCCGTGTTTGTTTCATGCCTATCATATGTTGTTGTTGTTGTTGTCGTTGTCGTCGTCGTCGTCGTCGTCGTTGTTGTTGTTGTTGTTGTTGTTGTTGTTGTTGTTGTTGTTGTTATATACACTAAACTCGGAATCATATTGTTTATTTTTTTTCTTTTTGTTTACACAGGACCAAGCACAGCTATGGTCAATATTGGAAATCGATATCCAGAAGATGGGAAGAGGTTTCAAACACTTTGGAGAACAATTCTACATGGTACTGGTAAGTTAAAATAGTTCCATTGAACCTTGACTTGTTATGAATGTCATATACTTATTTTTTCCCCAAATAGATGACCTCGCCTTACTTCCAATGTTAGTCTAGTCAGAACGCAAAACAACAACACAAACGATATCGGTATTTACTTCGATCCGATGTATTCTGTTTTATATCAAGGTGTAAATTAAGTTCAAATGTACGAGTATATGTTCGCCGTAAAAATGACAGACATATAGGGTCATGCTATTCAAACTGTGATTTCTTGGAAAAAGAAAACAGATACTGATCTACGTGATAACAAGGAGCCATCACGTTTAAAGTTGTAAAGAACCATAAAGGATATTTGTTCAGCTTGTCAGGATAATACATTACCACAGACCATCTATTAGAAGATAATTAGTCGTGGTCCCAGAGATCTTTAAGAACCTTTCTCTGATGCAAGGAAATCACTGCGAACTATCACTGTTGAAACAAAATCGTAAGAGATCGTTGTAGTGGAAGACTTTGATTTAGCCTCTGTGATGTAGTGATTATATAACGGTCTGCAACTTCCCGTGGATTAAATATGTGTTACGTTTTATGAAGAAGGGACTAAAAGATGAAGCCCTTTGAAGGACGAAACTTAAAAAAAAAACATAGCTGAAGTCCCCTCCGAACATACAGGAATGGGAACTTAATTAGTGTATTTTTCTATTATGCGCTCGCATAATAAATGTCGCGTAGGCAGATAATACATATATATATATTCATTACAGAAATGACGTGTTTACGTAATGGAAAAAACACATTGCTTTTATTACGTGTGCAGTAATAGAAACAAGATGTTTTCATGAAAAATAATGTTTCCGATTGCAACAAAATTCGGAAGTGAGATTGTACTGTGTAATGAATGTGCTAATTGAAGGCACACTTTGTGTAACACTTATGTCTTACAATACAATAGTTAAGGTCAATGTTTACGTTTTTCAAATGTAGGTCAAAGGTCGCGGTCAAGGGGACATGGTCAAACAATTTTGGTACCACCAGAAAGGGCATAGCACAAGGAACACACATGCCAAATATGAAAGCCATACTTCTTATGATGCAATAGCTATGGCAAATATAAATATTTTTCAAGTGTAGGTCAAAGGTCACGGTCACATGGTCAATTTTTTATATGTTTGTTTTATTCCTTTTTTTAGAAAGCAATTGACCTTCGTAAGAAAACTAGGAAAGAATACGCCGAGCTGAGGGCTAACGTTAAGGTAATCCATCCACCAATACAAAATAAACACTGTTGTCATGACTACGACCATTATTTCAATCTGTTCTCTCGCAATTTTGAACAAAGTGCCTGGTTATAAAAGTATGACTTAAACTGCTCGTATCATTATTGATAAATTATTTCTTACGCAGAAACAAGATGAAAGTTTCATGGTGAAGAAGTCAGAGAAGGCAAAGGTATGTAACTTTAATAATATCTTGTCTGCTTTAGCTTCTTAATATTTTAACTTATAGGTAATGTTCACACACTTTATAATCAAACGTGACTCCTTTTTCACTTCAACTTAATGCGTGTAGGGATTTTGCTGCGGACGGGCCGACGTTTGGTCAGATCCTCATTTTTCAGTCAGATTCTAACGTAATAAGATACCCCTCTGTCGGGCCTTGTAAACCTCTCTCCATGCTGCAAGAATGATAGGTTTTACACAGATTCACAAATCCCCCTCTTTCTTCAAGCTACATTCTTCAAGTGGCATGGTGCATGACCTTCCTACATTATATTACCATTCACGGTCAGGAGTACTGTGCAATGAACGAACGAGTGATTTTGAGAAAGTGTTCATTGATTTTAATGAAATATCTAATCGCCTTAATGGGTTTCCTCAAGGGGTCGTTCTAACACCGAACGTCTTTTTTTTAAGGCGCGGCATCATATGGAGACAAAGCTTGCCGAATGTCTTGACATCGACCGATGTTTGGTGATACGGATAAAGGAAATACAGCTTGGGTTCGTATGAGTGATATTATTCTATATAGGAAATAAGAAATATTGCACGCAACCTACTGACGTTCGATATAAACCTTCTTCTGAGAAAACGAAAAACCCTATTCTCTCTTTCCAATGTTTCCCCCCACCCCCTTCTCTCTTATCATGTCCAGAGTACGGTATCCTCCTGACGAATGTTTAATCCAATTCTTTAACTTTTACTGACTTTGGAATAATCATTTAAATAATATCAGTTTTGAATTTAGAAAACAACGAACACTCATTTTAATCACGATAGTTCACGTTTGATAAAGTGTGATGTAGGAATGTGCCGAGAATGTGGCGTCGCCAGCAGAACACCGATATTAGCCTCACCATATATTTGCTTTTACAGACAACGTCGTTTTGTGGCAGAACAGTACAGTCAGTTCATGGCTGCCCAAGCTGGATTTTGTAAGGACACACTAGAGGTTGGGTTTATTTTTTATCGCTTTTTTTCTAAATGTTTTGAGATATTATATGCCATCAATAAAAAAAGTCAACAACATTAGTGTAAATGATGCGATTTTTACCACAAATATGTTTAATTCCATAAAAAAATGTTTCGGGGAAAAAATGATGCCCTCGCGATCAGCTGTCCGCTTTGTTCACCATAATAGTTTTATAATTACTCGATATCTACCAGCGATAAAAACGGACAAATCGCCCTAATTGTTCGAAAAAAGTTTAATTTATTTAATATTGAAAACTTAATATAAAACTGTTCAAACATTAAAAACATATCTCTCCAATATACAAACATCGCCATTTTCAATTTGCAGATATTAAATATGGTACCCGATATATTGACGGGGTTCTTGCCCAAAAAGTCTCCTCGGTGTCCAAAACCAGAAAAAAAGAAGTTGGACCTTCCAGTCCCCAAACCTCCAAAGAAGAAAAATGCCACGAGGCGACAACAAGCACAATGAAAATGATGTCGTTTTGTCTTTATCGACAAAATAAATCAAATGATGCTTATATTTCCTTGTAATTTGTGTTCAATTTAGTTTGATGTTTAAACTTTAGGTAATACATTAAGTATACACCATGAAAATTTATCAGTAGAATAAATCAGCGGTTGATATTATACAAATCCACGATAACGGTAACAATTTTAGTCAGACTAGGGAAATCAGAAATATAGAACATATGTAATGACGATGATATACAATAAGAACATGCTCCGAAGTTATCAAATATTTGAAAATTGCGAAATTTATTGAATTATGACGCTAGTACACCTCCCCGGGTAAAGACTTGCTTGTTGCTTTTTATAAGCCCGTCGAAAGACGGGACGTATTATGTTTTCACGCGGGCTGGCGGGCGGCCGCACATCGGTTTCCGTTCGATAACTTGAATAATTTTTACAGATTAATTTGAAACTTCATATGAAGGTTTATTACCATAAAAGCCAGATCGATTTCGATAACCAAAATTTTTCGCCCATTATTTACAGAGTTATGGCCCTTGGTACGTTTTCAAAATAGGTTTCCGATCGATAACTCGTGAATGTTTTTTACAGATTAATTTGAAACTTCACATGAAGGTTTATTACCAATAAAAGCCAGGTCAAGTTCGATAACCAAAATTTTCCGCCCAATAATTACAGAGTTATGGCCCTTGGTACATTTACAAAATAGGTTTCCCCTCAATAACTCGAGTATTTTCTATACGCCCGTCGTATGACGGGACGTATTATGGTATGGCGTTGTCTGCCCGTCCGTCGTAAACTTTCCTTGTCCGGGCCATACCTGTGTGTGTCCTTGGTCTATTGTCACCATACTTTGTACACATATATATCTCAAGGTCACCGAGTGTCGCGTATAAAAAATTGCCTGCCTCGCATGCATCGTTTCGGAGTTATTCCCCCTTAGTTCACATACTATATTAGCAAATGGTGGTATGACGTGGCTAAAACTCCCCAAAATGATTTTCAGATTATTCCAAGACAACTTCGTTATTCAGTCAAATACTGCTTCACCATCGAAGACTGGCGACGGGCGTACATTGTGCCTCAATTAGGCCCTTGTTCATCATATTTTACAGCCAAATTTTGTGTAAATATTAAGGAATTGGCCATTTTTATTTAAAGCATTTACCATGGCTGACATCATGATCCTTTTGGTGTTAAGATTATTGTGATATGTGTTTGGAGTAATAAGGTTTCCACTTCAATGTCTACTATGAAAAGAACACAGTCAATTTAAACATTTGTCGATTCTTTATTTCTGTGACGTCATATTGTACAGGTTGTTTATATACATCATCACAGTGATATAAAAATGTCATTCACTCAATCTTCACTCTCATAAAACACATTCACACCAACCCAAGTCGCACTCACATCAACCACATCTATCCTATTCTCATCTCATGGCTGACAAAACTAAATGTTTCAGGTACCTATCTTCAGCTCAGTCACATGATCCGACATTTTACTTGCCATATGACATATCACATGACAATCTGTGCATGTCAAATGATTGATGAAAGATCCGTGCAAAAAATTCCAAACATTTTAACGGAGAAAATGAAACATCCAATAATATAGAGGTTGGTGATTTCATAGAAATGAAAATAACAATAATAAAATAAATATGATTGTAATCAATGCTCCTCAATCTTATAACTGAGCTCTACAGTTATGTCTTCAGTCTATCCTAAATTCATCTATTTTTATGTCAGATTCTGTTTAAACCGGTAATCTGCCTTTGTTTCTTATAGAAAATAAATATATCTTATCAATTCCTAAAGCTGTCAAGAGAAATGAAGCTAGCCTATTGACCAACAAAATACACTTCAAGAATGGAAAAACTACTCAACATATCAGCACGGATAATTCAATGTTCCATATGTTTCCATAACTCACATTTTATAGTGCTTGAGAGAAAGTGTTGTTTTGAAAGATAAAACATTGTTTTGGTAAGTGATTTATAACAACTTGTTTATAAGTCTGTTGAATGGATCTTGTAGAAAAAATATTTGTATACAGGCTATATTAGTGTATAAAAACAAAACTGTAAACGTTTTAGTTAATTAACAAAAACGGAAAGAATGAAAAATGAGCAAGTTAAAAATGCACTTTAAAGTGAGGATTTCTAAATTTTGAATGTTTAATTTTGGTTTTATTGAGCAAACAATAATAAACATATTGTCAATAGTGATAAAAAAAAAATGAATATATCGGTTTAAGTAATATCAAACCGAATTTTTCTTTTTCACACTTCAATAATCAATCCCAAAGAATGATAAACCAGAACAGAACACCCAGTAAATAAATAACTCCTGTAGACTAAACCAAACATTAAAAAAAAGAGCACAAGTAGACTTCAATCAATCACAAATTTCCGACCATTCACATTAGTATGAATACAGAAGTCTTTCCTACCAACATTATCTTTTCATTATGGTATCAGGTTGATAAATAAACAAATGATTGTACCGGGAGACCTGTGTCAAGACATTTCATGAAAATTTATTAAATAAGCACAAAAAACAGTGAGTTTGCTCAATATGAATCCAAGCATACATTCTTAGCTGCTCCTTATATAGTAGATTTTGGAACATATTATTGAAATTGTGATTCCTCTCAAAACACAGTATTATTTTCTCTTATATATATGATTATTGAGACCTCATTTATCAACTTGAGTCCAAATCCTTCAAATTTAAAGTTACTTTCACAACATTTTCACTAACATGTATACACATCTAATACAACACTGTTACACAGTTTAACACAACATATGTCCTCCCTAGTCTGTACAAAATAAATATTTAACTTTCTTTTTTCCATAAAATTGTTGAACACATGATCTAACGTACAATTCTAATGTATTGTACAGGTACAGAAGCAATAATCTACCAATAGCAGGGCACAGCTTTACACAATTGCAGTGAGTAGTACATAGCCGTTTTGTCTAATGAACGTTTAACATTTTTGCAGCAACAATATTCAATTCTAGAATCCTGGCAAGTTGGTTCTGCAGTGCAATAATTTTAGAATTTCACAGATCATGAGTGTATACACTTGTGGAAATGTATTCACACAACTTGATTTGGTTGCATTTGAAGTCTAAAGACCATTAAGGTCAGCTTGTTTTATGCAACAGGAAACAAAACAGACATGTTTACAGCTTTATGTGAGGTTTTAGTACAACTGTTATGACAAGCACATAAACTACATGTTTAACAAGGTCATGTAGAGCTTAGATTGTGGAGACATGAGATTTTTTCGTTTGATCATCTGCAGAATTTTTCTTTTCATACTTGTGTATATCTGGATCAGAAAAAAAGACATATTTATAATACACCCTGGTGAACTGGATTACAGAATTTTAAGAATAAACACTGCCTAATGATAATGAATTATTTAAACTAAAATCTAGTTTAATTATGAACATCTACAACCAAGTGTTAAACAAAGTGTGGCTGAATCAACTACAATACATAAGTACCATTTTCTACAATCGTTTTACCATCCTGTCACTCTTTTATACCTTAGTGTACATAAAATTATACCACCTAAAAAAATGGTTGATTCCTTCACATCTCACACACTCTGTATGTCAGAGCTAGCATGCTTCACACTGGTCATTTGTCTGATGAAAAGTGAGGATGTAGTCATTAGAACATCACACTTTAATCTCCTACTGGTTGTATTTCAAAAATTTCTATTCCATAAAATCTGGTTTACTGTAAAATAGATCAATTTGTTCAGTGATACCAAAAGTTTTCAACAAAATGGATTTTTTTTCATTAATGTCATAATTTTTCTTTGTTTGCTTTTTGTAATTAATCTGGTTTTCATGGTGTCTATGTTTACTTCTCTAATTCCATCCCTAAAGGTAGCTGAAAGCAGAATCCCTTGAAAATAATATTTGTTTATCAATCAATATAGAAATAATTAATGTAAAATCTAAATGCTCATATAACAAACAGTATGATGTATGCATATAATGGAGTACAATGTATGTTAATGATTTTTCCAGTATTTTTTGTCATGTTACCAGAACTATGATAACAAAAGTGTGATATCCTATCTACTACAGATTCACCGGGTCTCCTAATGATCTTTATATTCCATGTAATGATTTTTATAACACATGTTTGACTGTTTTATGATCACTCCAGATATAACTTAATTACACTGACAATTATTCACCACATTATTCCTTAACATACTCTTGAGACATGCATTGCAGACAGCTGTTGATGAACATGTACTGTACTATTTTTTTCCAGTACTTAAGAAAAATAAACATTGTGAATACATTCAACGCTCACAAGATACATATAAAGAAACATATAAAGACTAGTAAATGTAGAATACTTGACACCCCAAGAAAGTAAGGTTTACAATCTTTTGGCCCATTAATAGACTGAAACATGTAGACAAAATATGGTTAACTTTCCATCAGTCAAAACAAAATCAAATGTTGTTAAATTGAATGAAATGATACAAAATTATGCTTTTGAAAGTAAATCGGAGTGTGAACCATCATTGTAGACACCATCAAAAATCACAACAAAGAAAAGCCTTGTAAAGTCAACAAGATTAGGATATTGACACAGTAGGTCCAATACATTATCTTTTGAACCCTTAACAATTGACTGATAAGAAATGGTGATTTTCATTTCGTTCTTCATCAAATTGAATATCACAACCAAGAAACCATGCAACACCCCCCACCCCCCCCCCCATCAAAAATCTGCATGTATCGACAGAAGTAAGCATTGATATATTAGTATACAGAGTGATACACATATGACTACAAATTAATGTTTATCAAAATCATTTAATTATTGGTTACAAAATGCATCTATGAGACTTACAATCTGTTTATTTGACAATAAATATGGATATTGACTGTTGTTCTTTGACAATACATTTGCCAACATTCTGTGTTCTGTAAACAAACTGCTTATAATATGAATTTGGGGTATCCAGTTGCGTCAACTGGTGTGAGCATGCTGTGACAGCAAGACATCGAAGAAATCACACTTAATCAATGCTACTTATAAGAAATGTATGTGTATAATTTGTCAGTATGAGTTGCTTATGACCTACAACCCACTACCAACAGTGCTTACTGTCCATGTGAAGAGTGACAACATGGAATGATATGTACCACCCCAATATCCCTGTAACTTAGCTATCAATAATTAGGCATATATACAATCTCTAGATGAATTGGAGTACCGGAAATTTGAATTGTAAGTGAAACAAGAATAGGAAGGGTCCAACAATCACTAGGCAGAAAATTATTGTTAATACATTTTCATATTTGCTTATTCAAACTAACTGCAGGTTTACCATAACTTGTTCTTGAGGTGCCAAGTATCCTTAAATAGTATTTGACTTGTAAAATCTACAGAATCCACCCATGGATCTACCCGAGAACCAGTCTGTCACACATTACTATGTGAAGTGTGCTGAATCACCAGGATCAGGTCTCTTTTGCCGTCATAAAATTTCTATGAAGGTATGTTCAGAGCTATTCCACTATAACACCCATCCCATCCCAGGACTTCAAGTATCATTTAGATTCAAGTAAGATGTATTTAGACTATTAAATAATTACCATACAAATCCTACAATAAGCACAAAACCCGACACATTTCCTCAAAGTCAGGAGCAGGCTTATTCCAGGGCAATAAGACCAGGGGCCAACCCATTTCCTAAAAGTCAGGAGCAGGCTTATTCCAGGGCAATAAGACCAGGGGCCAACTCATTTCCTCAAACTCAAAGTCAGGAACAGGCTTATTCCAGGACAATAAGACCAGGGGCCAACATATTATCTCTACCCCAAAGTCAGGGGGTGGGTTTTTCACAAGACAATGTTACAACATTTGTTGGTAATCCTACAGAAAGGCTATAGATACAGTAGGGCTTATTACAAGGAATGCACTTATTACCATATGAATTATAAGTAGTACAAAATGTATTATACTAAGTTTTAATTTAAAATGCAATTACAGTCTGTGGTGTAACAATGTGTCTACCTGTCATTTCCTCAAACAGCATGTCTATTTACTGAAGAACAGTCTTTAATAAACAAATTCACTTTCCATACCCTCGCTGACCTTTTTGAGTTGAGAGATTATCAGACTTTGTGACTGCTGAGCAAGTCACCAAGTATTCATCTCTGGGATGTAGTTGAATACGTGACTTCATTTACTAGTTTGTTTTGTTTTCCTCTGAACAATTCAAAGTTCAACATTTGCACTCGAAAATAAACCAAACACCCAGTTGAGAGTTGATTGTGTTTCTTTCTCTGTTGGAATCCTCAGAACTTTGTGAATGTCAAGACCTGGACATGGTCTTCATTTCAATGTGATCAGGTGTTCATGACATCATAAAACCCATCACAGGTGATTGAAACATTTGTTTTACCAAGAATAAGATGATAGATCATGTTAACCAAACTGAAAAGTAAATCCCCCTGGAATACCGCCTCCTTGTTGGGCTCCACCAAAGCTAAACCCTCCAGGACCTGCACCACTGGAGAAAAACGTCTGAAATATCTGGTTAGGATCCACTCCAAAGTCTGAAAAAGACATTTGACAGAACACATGTAAATTCTGATACATTAATGCCACCGTCTCTCTACATACTTTTCCTTATACACAAGATGAATGATAGCTACCCAAGTTAATAGGCATGTAACAGTCTCCAGAAAACTGATACATAAATGTATACTTCTACATCAGGTCATGAATTAAATACTATTCAAAACAAAATTTTTTTATGAATTACAGTCCACGACACACAGATGATTAATTTGTGCTGGAAATAATTCTAGTCAATGAATGTTTGAGAAGCCAGCCGTATTCTGTAAGGAACAGTGTTATTATTACTGTTGTATGTTAATCTGCTAACATATACCAGGAAGTTGTGCCAGTTTACAAATATATCATGTTACTTAATTGCACTAGTGGTATGTGGAAAGAATCAGTAATACCGCCAATTTTAGATAATGACATCAGAAGTTTGAGATAGCAACAAGGACATCATCATCAAGATTCCCCACCTACGTTCATTTGTAAAATATATACATTTTAAGTGAGCAACATGGAAAACTTGAAAAGATATCAGCCAATCAGGCCACAGCAGCCTCATTAAATATGCACAGAATTTGCCGATAATCAAACTTGAATAAGGAGTTAAGGTAACAAGTCATTCAAGCAAGTCTCATCATAATTCTTTTGTTCCATCAAAAGATCAAAAGGTGAAATGTGGAAAGCATTAAGTTAAAGTGCCAAAAGATATCAGTCAATCAGGTCACAGCAGCCTCATTAAATATGCTTAAAATTCACCATTATTTAATCTTGGGCAAGTGATTAAGGTAGCAAAAGTACCAACCAAGTTTCATCAAATTCTGGCCCATCCTTCAAAAGATATCATGTGGAAAGCTGCATCTGGATGGATCTATGGACGTATGGAATCCATTTGAATATCCTCCGCCAATAAATAATAATACTATCCAGGTAATTTGAATCAATTCAAATGCCTAGTTAGGTCAAAGGTCAAAGTTTTTCAGTAAATAACACATTGTCTCACCTATGTCTACATATGCCCCTATTGTGAAGTTCTAGTTACAAAAGATAGATCCTCTGACAAGATAATGTATGTGGGGACGGACATACGGAAGGACAGACAGACACAACATATTGCATCATTCACAAGACTTGCAGTAACATTTATATGACAATTTATATTTAAGAACTTTGAGTCACTTTGAACCTACACTGTAGGGACAGACTGTACGTGAATGGTATTTTGTATTGAGATTGTTGGCTTAAATAACACTGCCATCTTTTTATCAACAAAAATACCTCTGATCAAGTTTCAATCTACATTCACACAAAAATACATACCAAATCCAGCACCTCCCTCCAACTCATCAATATCAGCCCCTGAATCATATCTGCTCTTTTTACGTTCATCAGACAATACTGCATAAGCTTCCCCTACTTCTTTAAATTTTTTCTCTTCTTCCTTTTGTACATCTGGTGTATCATGACTGTGACGATCTGCAAACACACCAAACAAATGTGATCAGTGCTTTTAGGTTAAACAAGTCTGGGACCTATAGTCCTTGACAAAAATTATTAAAATGAAATTATTGATATTCAAATGTTGGGGTCCTCTATGTATATATCTATATCAAACAAATGTTAATAATTACTGTGTTTTTTCAATGTTAATTTTACAGCAGCCTGTTCCTTATTGAATTGGGAAAATATAGCATAATTTTTAATACTGCAAAAATATTCCTGAATTTTGTTTCATTTTGGGAAAACAACACCCTTTTGAGACAGTAAACTAGGGCAAATAAATCACTGGATTATGTGTGTGATATTTCTAATCATTGACCTTAATAAGGAACTGCAGTAGTGAGAATTAAATAACATAACTTTGTTTTTATGACTATAGCATCCTAAAATATTTATGAACATATTTCCTGGAAAAATTTGACCAATAAATGGACAGACTAGAAACACACTGAATAAACCTGACTTCCTTCAAAGCAGGATACATCTGCTTAATACACAAAGAAACATAATTTAGCTTAATCCTATCCCAGAATTATAAGGAAAGAAAGACAGAAGTAATATTCAATTCTATTAATATCTGTTCCATCTAACTACTTTTACTTCAAAACTATCTTTTATATACCTTGATATTACTGATAGACTTAATAGTAATAATATACACAGATATTGAAAACTTTGTTGGCTAAAAGCAGATATTGGCATATGGTGAAAATTATCACTGGAAACAGCAATATATTCAACATCAATATAGTCTTGTTTTTGTTGTTGTTTGGGCCTGGTTATGCAACACCAATGAGTTATTGTACAATGAAATCTTACAAAATCAGTCTCTGAAATTCTCTCCATCCTGACCAAAACAAATTAATCCCCAAGCAAAAACCTCCGTTCCATACAGTCAGTGATCAATCTACAATTTATTTTCACAAGTCCTTTTAACTTTTATTGCTTAAAAATAATGGGTTCTGCAATGGAAAATTTAACTTTTCTCAAAAATTCTATGAGTACAGGAATCGGAACGCATATGTAGATTAATCACTGATATAGCAAACTGTGATTAAAAATTCACTCCAAAGCAGCCAAATTGTTGAGTCCTCTTGGTGTCTGGTTTTACATATTGCTGCATCAGGTCTGATTAGTGGATAAATCCCTCAGCCTCAATGTTGCATTCCCCGTAGAGTTAGATTACAGCTAATAGAAGTACTGTCATGCTGGTGGGGTATGACCAGCTATCTGTATTCTAGGAATTGAACAAGAGGCTGGTGTCTTAACTTACCAGGGTGATGCACTAACGCTCGCTTCCTGTATGCTTTCTTTATCTCATCCACTGTTGCTGTTTTTCCTATTCCTAAGATTTTGTAATAGTCTTTCCGTTTACTCTTCTTTAATTCTAATTTTGCTTCTTGTAGTAATCGTTTATTTTCTAAAAATACACAAAAGAAAAAAACCATTAAATATTTCAAAAGGAAACAAATGAAATGACATACTCTACTTTCAAATCATTTTATCTGTTCACAAGTAATTCTTTATTCATGACATATACGGATTTCAGAAGGCAACATTTATATCATTAAAAAAAGCCCATCAAAAACATTTCAATACACATTAATTACCATAATGCAGAATCATAGAGTAACCTACCTTGACTTTTGTCCAACTTCAGAATTTTTTCATAATCTCGGACAGCATCATCATATTGTTCTGTATCCATGTAACTGTCAATTAAAAATGGACATGTAAAGTCTCCACAAAACATACAGGTATTTTCTATGCGAGGAAGGATATGAAGTTCTTACCATTTTGCACGCCGTAGATAAGCTTTCAAGTATGTGTCATCTAGGTCTACTGCTCTTGTACAATCAGCAATGGCTTCCTCTATTTTGTTTAACTGTAGAAAAAAAAAATGAAAAAATATCTGATTAGCATTAAGTCTCAAACAAAGAAGGGCAAGATCGATTGTTAAGTAAATGAATCCAGTCAAACAGTCATAAAGCTTAAATCACAAAAATATCAAAGTTAAAGATAAAAATATATAAAGTAGAAAAAGTTCCAAAGGAAGATATAGGTCAAAATGATTAGGATTCAAAAAGGACATTTAAGAATCAATTTTTTCCCAAAAACAGTTTTAAATGTAGAACTGGGGATTACCCTGTTACAGTCCAACAACAGGTAATGTGTAAATCATGTGTGTGTGTGTGTGTATATATATTATGCTTTTGGCAGCAGTGGTACTGCCTGCCTGATCATATACTTATGCACTAGTCGGAGTGTAAGTGTACAAGAGAAATCATAGATATACAGTGAAACTTCACCTAACAACCACATCAATATTATGACCACCACCCTAGTATGGGCACTTTTTTCAGTCCCTTTTTTCATTATCGATCTTGGTATTAGTCTCTTTAATGTTACGACTACTATTCTGTATCACAACCATCGCCTAGTCCCAACAAGCACTAATTAACAGGGTGGTTTCACTGTATTTATATTCATATACACTAGGTAGGGTAAAGTATAACAGATATCTAGCAGTCCATTTAAAACAATAATGTGTTATTTTAACAATAATTTAACAAACTCACCTTTGAACCAACTGTTGCTCTGTTGAAGTAAAGTTTAGAATTTGTGAATTTATTGTTAGGGTCAATGGCTAATGCCTCTGTGTATAAGTCAAAAGCTGCCTGTAGATTTCCTGACCGAAATTCTTTGTTTCCTTCTTCTTTCTTCGCTATTAAGGCTTTGGCTTTCTGCAAAAACAAAATGTGAGAGAAAAAAATTATACTATGTTATGCTGTAAAGAAGTTCAAGAATTTTTCCCCAAATTTTTCAAGAAATTGTAAATATCCAACATACCGTTCACCATTCCTTAGTTTTGCCTACCAACATTATTGATACCAATGACAAGTTCAGATGTGGTGAGAATAAAGCATATAAAATTTTCAAGGGGAGGATGTTTGGTATTGAAACTGAGAACAAGACTAACATTTTGACTTTTTGCATTCACATCTGAATCATTTTCATAACGAAAAAAATTTAAGATGTGGTTAGCATTTTCATAAGAAATAAGACAACCATACTCAGTAAATAAGGTATTTTTCTTGCTGTGTCAAAAATGACAAGCCGTACCAAATCCAAATATTTCTGATATGTAATAAGGGAGGTAACTGTAAACAAAGTTGTCAATATTTTGAAAATTACCCTGTATATTTCCCTGGCTTTTTGATGGTCTGGTGCTAGTCTCAGAACTTGCTGGAAATGCTGAAAAGCTTTGTCTATGTTATCTTGGTAGTATAAACACATCCCTCGTACATGTATAGCATCAGCATTCATACCGTCTTTGCGTAATATATCACTGAAAGAAGAAATGGAGAAAAAAATTTAAAATCACTGAAAAAGAAAATTATCCCTTAAAGATATGGATGTTGAGAAAAAATAGGTGAAGTATTTTTTTAATGTGAAGTAAAATTAAACATTGAAGCAATGAAACCTAAAATATCATAAAAGTTAAACAAGAACATTTCATCCAATTTTTTTTTAACAAAATGGCATTGTTTGCTTCATAGCAATGTCTATGTAAGCAATTTCACTTTAAAACTCAGATGCATACTTAAATTGTCAGTGCAATAATCTAAGTTGTTTCAAAAACTGTATAACATTATAGAAATAAATAAGACTTACTTAGCAAACTCTTGTGATTCCTGGTATCGACCGAGTAAAGCTAGCACCTCAGCTTTTCTTATTCTGAATTTTACACATGCTGGACATTGTTCTATACATCTATCCATACAATATAACACCTAAAATATAAAAAAAAATCATGAATTTCTTTAAGATACTTGAGTCATCTAGAAATAGTCATAAAAATTTTGGTGAATCTGTCAAGTCAGGTACACTTTTGATGAGTCCCTATACTGAAAAAAGAAGGAGTTCTCAAAATTTGAGGGAGGAAATCATATTACAGGGTTCAAAGAATAAGTCCCAAAAACCACTGGTTGAATTCCTGAAGATTGCATCACTAAATATGTTCACAAAAATGTGGTAAAAAACAATGTGACATCCACCTTTTTAACTTGGTACTGATACTCTAAACTGTGTATTTATCATCATTACCTTTCTGTAATCTCCTTTCTTGAAATCGGCTTCTGCTATCTCTTCAAATTTTTTCACATGATCTGCAAGGGCCATCTGCAATAAAGACATCATATATTGTTATTTGCTGCATTGAAATACTTGTCAATATATTGTGGTTATTACATAGCTTCTAACAATAACCATCTCTTACAACAACCAAGGATAACAACAAGCTATTCCTTGCCTCAAAGCTGACCTGAACAATTGACAGTGGACTTTAGAATGCTTTTCCTGCACTCCTACTACTATAAAGAAATCTTAACAGATCGACAGAGGAAAATGAAATTTCCCTTTTGGCAATGGGACATTTAAAGCACAAGTCGGATATGTTGACAAAATTTTACAAAGTTTTGTAGTTATAAGTTACAGAATTTTCCAGTTATATGCTGGGAACTTTTCTTATTTCATTTATAATATATATTTACACATTTTATTGCTTAAATTTTATGTTCACAATCCATCTGTCTTAGTTATATAATTGTTAAGGAAGAATTGCTGAAGAAATTTCCTTCAAACACTGGATAGTATGTAAATTGATGAAGACAATTCCTTACATCAGTTAGTGCAGTGCTGTTATTAGGCTCCAGCATTAAGACTTGTTGATAGCATCTCCCAGCAGCAACAGGGTCTCCTAGTGCCAGGTGACATTTCCCCTCTCTGACGTATCCCTTTAAGGTTGAAAATAAATGTTATGGTTAACATATACTAGAATGGTTGAAAGATTTTTTAAATATGTAATGAGCTTCCACTCACACAGGGCTATCTAGACTTGTATCACTTCCATCTTTTACGAAATCATTTTTGACCTCAACATTAATACAGTTAAAGTTGCATGGATTGTCATGCAAATTATCCCATAACTGATACTCTACAAGAACTGTGCATTTTTTGCAAATCTGATGCAAAAGCACCCAAAGGTCAATATATAAAAATGGATTTACAGTATATAAGTTGTTATCAACTTGTTTCCAATTCCTGTTCCTTCGATGATATACTTGCTTTGTTGCGTTTATATTTCTGTTTGGAATTTAATAAAGTTTACATTAATATATATAAAAAAAAGAAGAGATCTACGGAGATACAGGGGGTAACATAGAACTAGAAACCTATGAATAGGTCGTAGTTATTGAAAGTGAGGGCAAGCTAGGTACCTTTACGAAGGCGCTGTCCAGTCGTACTGACTGACGTGCATCTTCCAGGGCTTCCAGGTACTTGTACAGCATCATATAGGTGGCTGCTCTGTTCCCGTAGTAGGCTGCACATGTTGGACATAGTTCTGAAATACAGTATATATATTGGATATAGATTCCATAGAATACATTAACATACTGTGAAAATATTAATGTTTGTCAGAGGTTTATTTCTGTTGAAGTGTCCAGGAAAAGATAAACATAAAACTTGACATGGATAATATAACCATTTGATATCGTGAACAAGATTTCTCCACAAAATCGAGCGCTAAAGAAATTGCAAATTTTGTAAAACTATGAAATAAATAAGCCCAACAAAAATGTATGATTTTATATCAAGTCGCCGAACAGATAATTTATTACTGTATGTTATCATGCCATCTGTTATATCTGACTTTCAAAAGAATTTTTCCTTTTCAGTCTTTACAAAGAGGAAAACCTTTGGTTAAGGTTGTTGTGGGAATTCACAAAACAGGACATTAAAGTAAAAATGGAGCATTACATTTCAACCCAATCTGTACAAAATAATCTAAGAGAACTAACACTTCTGATGTATGATACTACATCGAAGTACTACACATTTTAGTACACCTTAATATTGAATGACATTATGGAGCATCAAAATGCTTTATTTCCCATGTGATCTTTTATTTCAGCTGAATGATCTTGAGTATGTACTTACAATATTGGTATAAAAAAGATACATATCATAAAATTATCTCATTCCTTATGGGTCCTGCAAAAGAAGAATCGGTTTTACATGGACGGAGTCTGTAAGCGTGAAGTACATTAAACTGAAATAAATTCTCTAATATTTTTCAAGAGAGATTGGAAATATTACAATTATGGGCATGTCTCTGTATTTACCTATGGCTTTAGAGTAGCAATTTAGAGCATCTATGTATTGCCGGTTCTTGTAGAAGACATTTCCTTCCTCTTTCTTTTCTTCTGCGTATATTGAGGGACTGAAAAAGTAGAGAAAGAAAATAAAAGACATGTCATGATTTTTACAACTCAAAATGAATTGACATTAGTTATCTGAAATTTTTTGAAATGATTTATTAATTTTTCTTAAATGACAATACTTCAGAGTCTTCTTGTCTATAGTGGAGTCCTACATATAAAATACCTCTACTAGCATCTTGAAATATCATCATGTAATGAATAGAGCATTGACAGGTAATCTGACATCTAGTTCACGTTTCAGTTACCTTCCGAAAGTGTTATCTGGTTTGCATTTAAAGTATCCTAAAACCCCATCAGTGTCCTGTATGTCAAAGGCCCCTCTCTCCCGGTTTTTAAATCTCTGTATCCACACTTTGTCTGGATGACTATAAGAGTACACACACTCTCTAAATTACAACTACTTAATGATTTTTTTTTTTATGTGCATTGATTTATGTTAATATTTTCACTATCAGACAAAGTTTGTCTTGATCAAAATATACATCTAAGTGTTCTTTCTTTCAAAGTGTATGAAAAAGCCAGACTTGTACCAGAAATCTGAAATGTGTGAGGAGGATGTGCTATGTGAAAGACAGATACTTTGCTTGTACATTTGTTAGACTTGTTGACATATTTCTATTAGATGTATATGGTAAACCTGAATTACATTTATTTCTAGCTATATTTTCCTCAGTGTTGTATATTGCTTTCAATGATCAAACAGCATGTGAACGGAAAGGAGTACAATACAGTGTTTTTGACATCCTACATGTGGCTGGTCTCTAGCATGGTGTTCAGTTAGGTAGTCATGAGCCACCAACTATTTCAAGGAAACCAGTCACAAAATGATTCTTACTGTTCATGGAATGATATTCTCAGTAAATCAAAGTATATAATAAATAGAGTATGGTAGAGTACTGGTTCTGGTTTTACAGCTTACATAGTGTACAATGTACATTAATTTGTAGTTACCAAACATGGTACAATCGTTAATTTCTTAATGTAATTAGACCAATAAGGAATCAACAGTAAGTTTACTGCTTTAAACTATGGACACATCCTAATTCCTATTTATTTTCCCAGTTAATGTGCAGAATCGCGTCCGAAGCAAGAAAAAATACTTTGAAAACGACATTTTTACCTTTCAGTTTCACTTTTAATATCAGTGCAAGTAATAATTCAGTTACTATGGTTAATCGACTTGACACACTAGCATCATAACAATCGACACTCAGTCAAAATAATTGGACTTTAATTAACACGAAACCATATGAAAATATACAATATCAGTAACTGAGTAAGTCCAACGACATGAAATTACGAAAACGCCATGGAACATTCTAGAACAGAACATACAGACATGTTATGAAATTTGTACCTTGGCTCCGGTTACAAGGAAACAGTGTCTACAGACATTAGATATATCCAATCACTTATTTATTGTAATGACTCTGTTGCGAATAAACACTAATTTTCTTTCACCGTCGGTTTAAGTCTACCGAATGACCAATGCCTCTTTTGATCTTCGTCACGTTTTGCCAGCAATACAAGTTCGAAGGACATATTTATTTCCAAAATAACTCTAAAGTAACCGTGAGATGTGTCGAAATCAGAAAAACCCGAGATACAAACCCCTAGAATAATTAAAATTAAAATAATGTATTCATTTTCACTCAACTCTTTTTCGATTGTTGGGGACTCCACTTCCATCTGACCGTCTTCCGACATTGTGGAACAGGAATAAAAACAGATCTCGCGAGATTTCGGAACGTAGAAACCCGCGAGGTATCACAAAAGCGTTTGACAGTAATGTATATTCATGTGCCCGTTGATAGCAAGACACACTTCTTTTCGGTCCCTTCACGTAACCAACAAATGAAAGGCATGGACACAAAAAGCATGCACACATTGATCTCACATCGGCGGAATTAACGATTTCGGCAATTAACATTTCTGATGAAATCAAATGAAGCAAAAATATCCTTAAATGATACTGTATTTCGCGGAGTTATCATAACAGGAGTGAGAATCTGAAAGAGTTAAAAATTATGAATGTTTGCATTTTAATGGATATAAGTACCTTAAATGGGAACAAATTTAAATATCTATAATGATAAAAAGGAATTTCAGGTTACAGCTGAGCGCCCGAACACATGTTATCAGATCTAAATAATCATACGAGTTATCTCCCTTAGACTGTGTACGTGTTGATGGAAAATTGTCGATTCCTTCCTGTAGAGACCTACATATGTACATATGGCTTCTGAATGATTTCTTGTATGTATGCAAACACTATAATAGCTCATTTTGAAGGCAAATATTGACTTATCATAAACTGTTTTACTTACAGATATTCAGTGAAAACATTAAACACCTGCTCAAAAAAATATTTGACTAAATAAGAAAATCATTACAATATGGTAATTTAAAATAGCTGTTTGTTCATAGTTGTTGCCATTCTAATTACCACTAGTAATAATTCTTATGAACAAAAAACTAGAATGTCGAGGACCTACTTTTCTTGAAAAAAAGTATTTTTGTGAGATATCCGACGATGATCAAGATAAAAACAACCTCCCCAATTTCAGGGTATTAAGGTGCTTTACCCTGGCTGTCCTTCAGGTTCTGACGGGCGTGGCCAAATAGGATAAAATTGACTCAAAATAAAAAAAATCCAATATCCATATAGTGTAGGTTCAAAAGCTCTTCATGGACGGAAGGGTCTTTAAAGACTCTCCTGTCCCTATACAAATATCCTTCTTAGCATTTCTCATGTTCTCCTTTCTCTACACATTCATTCCAATTGTTTCCATTAGCAAGTTTACTCAGGTGACCGGCTAGACCACTGGGGGTCTTGTTAGAGACTGAAATTGAGTGGATATATAAACATGGCTTTCGGATTATTTTCTCACTCTTCGCCTCCAAATACTGGACGATTCTCAAACTTCACAGGTACATTTCCCTTTCATATGTTGTTACACTTGAAGCCTACATTATAAAACACCCTCGGTGCATAGGATGTGACATTTTTTGTCGTAACATCACAAGTCTAAAGACTCTTTATGAAACTGTTGAGATTATCAAAAGTCTAGATTATCTGAAAGATATTGGTCTGTATTATAGACCACGACTTACAATTATAATATTTTGTGATTATATAACTATTCAAGATTTTTAGCATTTGTGTTTTACCTTTCCCTATCGAAAAGGAGTCAATTCTTCTCCTACTGTAAGGAAAGATTGAATTTTTCTTCATTTGATCTGAAGTATTCTTGGGCGAATGGGAATGCAATTGTGGGTATCGGCCTCCTGAGGCGGAAGGGGCAAGTCAAACTGATGAATTAGTGCAAGTTATTTAAACTCCTACTCCTCTTGAAGGCATACCTGTATTTTGTCCTAATTTGATTTGAAGTAAGCTTTGATGAAAAGGAATCACTTTTTTTATAAACGGTAGGTTTCAGCCCCTCTCGAGGTTGAGGGACAGGGCCTATGCAGTAGGGGAACAAGAGCAAATTCTTGAAAATCCTACTCCTCCAGCAGGAATGATTGGATTTTGCCCAAAATTGTCTGGAAGGTTCTTGATTGAAGGGAATCAAGTTTGTATAAACGGTGAGGGAGGGCGGAGCTCAGTATCGTAAATAAGCAAATTCTTTAAAATCCTACTTGTCTTGTTGGAATGATTTTGTCTTAAGTATGAATAGTTTGGCCAAGCCAAGCAAAAGCCAGGTGAGCGATACAGGTCCGATGGGCCTCTTGGTAGTCTAATTCTTATACTAGTCCTTTCCTTGTTTTTTAACCGTGTTCTTATTTGAGAATATTGCATTACTTACTTGGATTGTCCAAGATTTACATGCCAAGTGTCATCGATGTAACAGAAGACGCTTTCCCTTCCGGAGGACCTGGTTTTATTTTTCTTGTACCTTTTTAATGTCTACAGAATCAGGCTATCATTGTTTTCATAGTTTGCCTTATTTTCATGGAATCTGAGTTTGAATTAAGATTTTATCAAAATGTCCGTATTTTATATCCATTTAATTAATGATATTTCCAATTAGCTAAAAAACAACAAGCTTAGTCGGAAACAATTATGAATACCATCCTTGTTTTCTCAAGACAAATTTATTCGATAATGCAGTTCAATTGTTTTGTATAAAATGGATTAATAGGATTATATAAAGGAACGTAAGTGGACATAATCTCTCCACCAGACACAGTAAAGCCGATTATTGCTGGATAAAACCTCATACAAGTGCTTCGATCTTTGAATGACGGTAATTGATGTTGTGGAAGACGCAAGGGACAGTACAAGTTAACTAGACGATTTTTTTACTACTTAGTTTTAACCTCTCATATACACAACGTGTATCAGAGTTATATGGATGGACGGATGAATCATTGTTGGTCATTTAGAAGGTTGTTTATTACGGAATTAGTATGTCAAATATTATCCAATCCAAAACATGGACTCATCACATTCCTCTTTCGTTTTACTGTCCTCTATTGTGGTAGTTTTAAAAGTAAATACATTAGCGGTCAGGATGAAACAACATAATGGAGATAATAGTATTTGTACGTTAATTAAAAACAAAAACAAAAACAAAAACCAGAAAAAAATCACGTCAGTGTAAGCAATTTAATAAGTAACAAAAAACAGTGATAACAATATTAAATAGCAGACCTAAATCAATAAGGATACAGTTGCATGTTCTAATTTACAAACATAGAAAAGGTTTGACTGTTTTCACACATGGGCGTGATTTCTTGATCACCGTAAAAATATCTAGCATGACAGCCACCACAGAAGTCATCCTGACAGTCAGCCCATGGGTAACCTTGGCATCCACCAATCGACCGTCTTCTTTCACATGGACTGTAATTACATGTTGTCGGTGGTGCAAGGCTTGAACACCTGCTAGCAGGGGGAGTCAACGGTACTGATAACAAACAATGAATTCAATTAGTAACATGCTTTAGTTCTGAAATGAAATATAGATATCTACCTTAATTTGATTTCAAGATATCAATAATTTGTGATATTTTGCCATCCCCCAAAAGTGAAAAATGAAACTCAGAAAAAAAGAAAGTTAAACTTTGTGTTATTAATATAAATACTACCTCAAAAACGAGTTTCCATTTCACATGAGAGTTATTGAAAACCGTAGAAGTTTCAATTTTTGCGAACCATGGCGAGCAACAATTGGGAATCTGAGACGGGTTTCATAAAATATCACATCAAATGAAAAGAAATTCAAGATACTGTTTATCACAAAACTCAGAAAAGGTATTAAAAGTAAAACGTGATGGACAAAATAAAAAAGGGGAGGCAACTGATTGGTTGTGCCATTTGAAATTGATGACGTAAGGTCATTGGCCATATTATAACATCACCATCGATTTCTGACTGAGACAGCCAATGAAAAACACTTCGGGGTATATTATACGTGTGATAGATTCGCAGAAATATCACATGGACGAATCCGCAGTATAACAAGCGGTTACGTAATCAATAGGTGCATGTGGCCACCACTCAATAGTAAGACAACAACGACCAATGTACACTTAAATTTGGTTTAAAAAAAACAGTTTGGAGACTACTTTGAAAATTGTGATGCACCGGTGGCTGTTAAAATACAGGACAAATTGATTGAGGTTGAGTTAGCCCTTTATATCCCCTGATTGTTATTCTCTTCAAATTTCAACCTACATGTAAAACAGACTACAGCACAACACCTGATCCATAGGCAGAACTTAACCGTTATACTATCAGTTATCAATATATTAAAAAGAAGGGAAGTAACTCTATGAACATTCAGTAAAGGGACTTCCAACATTATTTCGAATTTATTCTCAACTCGTGTATAAAATTCAATCTGGTTGCATTCCACTTAGCCATATTGTGGCCAAACCAAATTTTTGAGTCCAAGTTATTTAAACTAAAACTAAAAAAACTTTGGGTACAAAGATACCTGATTACTAATTTAAGCGGCACAAACAAGACAAAGTTGCATGCTACATCTGAACTTGATGATAATTTCTTGAATTTTTACTCGTGATCTCTCAGCCTTGACAACATGGCGATAGATGACATTTGTGGGGTTTCGTTGGTTTAACAAAGGTTATAGAGTCTATCTGCTTCATTCACACTACCCTGGGTTTATTACCAAGATGTTCTAAAAGTGGGAAGTACTGGTGCATATCAGATCAGCAGGTATATTTAGTAATATTCCAACAAGTCTTCATGGTTAAGTGGTTTTGACAAGGACCTTATAATCAGGTTTATCAACCATCCTATATATATATATTACATTCTACCGGTCAACAAATTTTAATATGGGGTTTACTTGTGATAATTTGCATTTCACCAATATTGATAGAGAATTTAAAATTTGAAGAAAATGGTTGATTAGATTTAATTAGACCAAGAAAACAGTTTCTTACTGCAGAATACATTACCAGCAATTTTGCCTGTTTAAGGGAGATAACTCGTACTGCACCTTAAATCCCAATCGGGTTCAAGACGGTATGGATTACCATTATGATTTACAAGTATATGACTTCATGCATACTCGATGTGGCGGTATAGTATATTTCTCTAGGTTGTCCGTCAAAGATCCCAAGACACGTTAGTGATATTATTATTACAACTACATGATAAAATGTTCTCGGTTAAAGGCACATGGATATGGGGTAGAGATTAATTGTAACTACGGTAAATAAAAAAAAATTCT